GTCGGGACTTCGGCGATTCCGGATTATAGATCATCAGTTTAAATCGCGTAAAATGGCATGCAGAAATTCTAAAATTAAAAATATGAAACGTAATTATGAAATAAAGAATAATTATGATCTAAAGGGTATCAAATTTACAAAAAAGTTGATATTATTGTTACTTTATTAAAATTTCTTTCAATGTAAGTGTTTAAGTTGCTTCTTTTATTGATAATACTTTCTCTTTAATTCTATAAACAGACATAATTTTTTTGGTCAGTTCAAAGTCCGCGTTCAAGTCCGTTAATTGCTGTGCCGAGATACCGGACTAACTTGCCAATCGAAATTTTTTTTTTTCACTAACCCCTGTCACTCTCATTTTTATCCATTTTTTGCAGCAATTCCACTTTTGTTTGATGGACATCGAAACATACTCGTTTTGTACGATCTTGGGAGCTCCAGATCGGAATCTATTTGACATATCGAAAGTTCAAGTTACTTTATAGTATGCTCTTCCAGTCTGCAAAAAGAATAAGCCGGATCCAATTCGAAAATTAGGAACAACGCAATCATCAACATTAACTGAAATAGATTATTAGATAATTTAGTTATACCGTTGTATAATAAAACGCGCACGCGAAAAGTATTCTGCGCTGCGCACAAGCATATGCGCAGTGTAAGAGGTCTTACGCGCACGCGTAAAAGCCTATGCGCATGTGTCAACGCGGCACATGTGCAAAAAGTTTTTAGCTTGGATTATAGCTCGTTCCGGATTATGGGTGTCCGAATTAACGACTTTTGACTGTATTTCAAAAATTATCACCTCGTTTGATGTTCAGTAGGTGGTTTCTTAGTACATAACAAAATAATTCGAGCATTTATTGCAGCAACCTTCAACAGTGCGAAAAATATTGCCATAGGCCAACGATTAGATTTCCTAGCAGTTGACTATGTGGCGGCAATTTTGTCTACAACATCAACTTCTACTTTAGATAAATGGTAGAAAGTTATTATTTCAGTTTTTTTTTTTCTATTCTCCTTAGATGAGTTTATTGCGTCATCATTATGCATAGTTGAAAGTAGTAGAACATTCTTATTTTTCTTGGGTATATGCGAGATAACTGATTTCTAATACAATTTTATGTTGTGGCCAGTTTTGAAGTGCTTTTTCCAGTTAATGATTCTATGTTGTTGAAAATAAAGCTTCGCATCTCTCTTTGTAGAATCCTAAAATTGAATAGATTTTTACTAGAAGAAAAGTTAAAATGTAAATGTCCTAAGACATTTATGAGAAAGAGTAAACATAAAAGATTGTGTGAAAATCCTTTGCATGATATGATAAAGTATGCAACCATTGATGCATAATTACTGTACAGTAGCATTGCTGAGCATAATTTGCAGGTAAACATCACATGGGGAAGAAAAAGATGAAGACTTCTGAGTACTTACAGTGAATATTTTGAGAAATGAAAAATTTGTATATAAAAATCATCAACTAATACTGCAAAATTAAAAACTCAGTAAAAGTAAGGTAATTCATAGTTGAATTTTATACAAATCTCGCTACGACAACAAAGAAAGAAAAAAGGCTAGCATGTATACAGTACCAAAGTCTTTAATCTGGATGTCCATAATCTGGACCTCAAAGCTACAAACTTTATGCATATGCATAAACATATACGCATGCACGTTTAATGTGCACATGGGCGTGAAAAGAAGAGATACTGTTTATAGAAGAGAGAAAAAGAGAAAGTATTAACACAAAAAACGAAGCAACTTAAAACAACTTACATTGAAAGAAAAGAAATGTTCATAAAGAAACAATAAATATTAGCATTTTTTGGTAAATTTGCTTTAGATCATAATTGCTCTTTATTTCATAAATTATGGTTTCATATTTTTAATTTTACATGACTACTTACCAGATTTAAATTGATGATCTGTAATCTGGAAAAAACCCTAATCCGGAATCGCGGAAGTCCCGAGGTGTCTGGATTACGGACTTTGTACTGTATAAGAGGATTATTTGATTACTGTCGTCACTAGAAAAGATTTTCTTTTGAGAGAGAAAACTCAGTAGGTTTAATCTCGCATTATTATTATTATTATTTTGCAAAATTTAATTTTAAATATGTAAATGATTAAATATTAACTTGTTTTTAAGGGTACACAATAAACGAAAGTGCTTTGTACTTGCCATTCTTGCTGATAGGCAAGAGTGAAAAGTAGAGTAATTTTTATTTTCATTATAAAATTTGTAGAGTCAAAAGAAATTGGCAACTTTTTTTTATTTCAGTACCAGTTTTGTGAAAATAATCAAATGCATGCTAGATATCTAATCAGTAATTTTTTGTGGCTGTTCTCCATGTATTTAAATGCACCACATAAATTAAAATAGTAAAAAAAATAAATATGTATTTGTTGAAATTTAAAACTGGACATATATCTAACGTTTTTAAGTTATTTGAGAGATTTATAGGTTTATTTATATTTTATCATAAACAGTTATATTTTTAACATATGAAGCAGTCATGATGAATATTCTTTTTGACAAATATTACTTTTATTAATGAAGTGGTTTTATTTTCTTCACAATTTTTAAAAGTGAAATTTTCTTTTAATCATTTTTTAAACATTAAAAATAAGCTGACAGGCATATTGGAAATATTGGTTCCATTTCTTGTTTGAAAATATCTGGTTGTATGGTATTTTCTGTTGTTTCCTTCAAGTCTGTGTAAAACTGGAATATTTTATAGATTTTTCAACTGATGGAACTTCTAAAAGCTAATAGCTTTCCTGTGCTAAATAATTTATTTGAAAACTTCCAAGTTTGAAGACATTTTAAATCAAAAACAAAGTTGAAAACAAATAAATTCTCTAGCTTGTTTAGTCTATTGTGTGGAATCTGTAATTTTGCTTTGTACTTCTGGCCTATTTGCATAATTAATAAAGTGGAAGGTTCAAAGAAAGTATTGTTTATTTTAGTGTTTGTATCATTAGGCTTCCAGATACTTACTGCCTAATTTGTTTCTGGATGTAAGTGATAAAACAAATTTGGCATGCATTTCATACAGAGAGTATATATTTTGCTAACTAAAATGAGAATTTGAAGCTTAAATAAGTAACACTTCCACTTGGAAAGTGTTAGTTCCAACTCTAGCAAGTGAAAGAGCATTTGCTAGATACGTTTTTAGCCTAACTTGGATCCAAATGCATTTGTAAATGTAGGATCAAATGATATCTCTTAACTGAGCACAAAGTGTATGTTAAAAGACCCAAGATCTTGATCAGAGGTCCCCAACTTTTTTTTTACTAACAGCATATTCTAGAATATCTGTTGGATGGCGGGCACCATTTACTTTTTCAGTGTGAATTTATAGTTGGATAGAGTTACTTGAATAATACATGAACATAAAAAAGTAGATTGATTGCATTTCGCTGGTATCTGTGATGGACGCAATTTCTATTTCATTAAAAATGAGAAAACTTTCACATAGAATTTTATTAAAAACTAAAATATTTTTATTATGATCGCACAGAAGCGGGGACACATTAAACAGTCGGCGGGAGCCATGGTGCCTGCAGGCATAGGGTTGGGAACCTCTGATCTAGATCATTGTAAATAATAGCAGCAGGATCTATTTAACTATACAATAGTTCTTAGCATTTATGCTCTGAGGGAGAAAGTTTTAAGGAATTGATGAAGATTGAGATATGTGAACAGAAACTCAAAATAATAAGATTAATTGTAGAACAGCTCACAAAGTAACCCTTACTGCTCAAATGATTTCATAAATAGACTTTTCTGTAATTGTGTGATTAGTATTTACTGTCCAATTTCCATGTTCTTTGAAGCAGCATGTATAATGCAATCTGCTGAAATCATTTTATGTTGTGTGAAGATGAAAGAGGATTAGTTGTGTACCAGATATAGCATAGAAATTTTAATTTTTGTCAAAAAAATAATATGCTTGTCTTAATGGCAGAAAACTAACATGTTCACAATGTAGTAATTCTTGAACTTTAAAAATAAGAATTCATTGCATTATCGGCATGAAATATTCATGTTTCAAGGAAATTTTTTGATGATCTTTAAAAATCAGTAGATAATATAGTAAATATTTCATATTTCTACAAGTTATCATACTTTTAATTTTTTAACTGCTGTTTTGGATAGCTAATTGTAAGTTTAATAATTGAAACATGACTATTTTGGAAGGGAAAAAAATGGTTATTTTCTGATTATCAGCATCTTTACTGAAAAGCTGTGAAAAATTATGAAGCAGTGCACTGTATCAATAAAAGGTATTTATGTGGCAACCCACGATGCTGCCAAAAGTATTTATATGGCAACCAGGTATGCATGTAGCATCCTCTCAGATGGCTTATTTACTTCTTTGGACTTGACTTCAATTTGACTGCAGATTATGATACCTTCAATGGGAATTTCAGCATTTTAGCATAGCGATGAACTACAAACTGCAGTTTTTCACCTTCAGTGAAATTTTGGACTTGGCTTTATGCATACATAGATTGTAATCTCGCTTGCTTAAATGCATCAAGCGCTTCTGTTTTCCTTTGCATATTAGAATTTTGTGCAATATTCAATTTATTTTTTGTAGCAAAATCAGATTGCTGTGTACATGGGGAGAACAACAATTCAAAAAATTGAAAAGTATGCATATCTTGCATTGAAAAGAAGAATGTAAATAAAAAGTGACACTGGGTGCATTGCTGATATAGATGTAAAGGTACCCAAACAAGCATTTCCATTCAAAGTCTGCTATGATTTCATAAATATTCTCAAAAATCGCCAATGATTTCATAATTTTTTATGTAACTATTTAAAATTTTAATTACCATGGGTTGGGGGAGACATAAAACTAAGCCTGTTAGGTCTTCTAATATTTGTATTGCTATTTCAGCATGTATTATTTAGATTACACAGTTAAATATTCTGATAAAGATTTACATACATTTAAGATTCTTCATTAAAAGCCTGAAATAATTTTTTTTTTCAGGTAAAAACTTGTACAACAATGAACATGTAGCTATAAAGTTGGTAAGTAATATTTTTTCCACTCAATTTAATCGTTAATTTATAATGCATGATTGATGCTAATTTAAGTTATTTTTATTTAATTATATAATAATGCATTGCTTTAAAAACATATATTAAACTTTCTTTGCCTTTAACTGTAATAAATGAACAATTATGGGTTAATCACAAAGTTCGCTAAAGCATAAATATTGTTGACATTACTGAAAAGCTAGGCATCATTAATTTGGATAAAAATGATAAAAGTTTGATAATCCTGTATGTCCGGTATTTTAATAATGCCAAATTATCCATTGTACTGGATTATCATTTATCAAGATATAATGATAAAAAAAAATTATAAACATAACTTTAATAAGAATATGAAACTTTGAATGAAACTCTACTTAAAATAAGTGTAGAAATACATTTATTTGACAAAACATAGTTGAAAAAATATAGAATATACATTATTTATTATTCAACTCTGGCTCCCTCATATATATATGTGTGTGTAAACATATACACATGGGTTACAGCTTATTTTTAAGAAAGTATTGCAATCACGAAAAGTTTCAGGCAGCATATTTCAACAAAAATATCCATTTTGACCACTATCGAATGCAATTTAACGATGTTTTTTCGTGACATCTGTACGTAAGGACAGAATAAAAGATTCCTTTTTTCAAAAAAATATAAAACTGCTTTAAATGAATTTGAAGAGAATTTTCTGGCGTCGTACGAACGTACGTACTATCCGCATAACTCAAAAACGAGTAGCCTCAAAATGTTGAAATTTTATATATAGGACGCTATAACATGTAGTTGTGCACCTCGTATTTTGGTTGCAATCGGCCCCAAATGTATATAAATATTTTACACCTCACTCGCCTCCGTGATCTCAGTTCGTTACTCTGATAGTTGTAAATTGTGCATTTTTGCTTTAAAAATGATTGAGTTATGTTGCTCTTATTTTCCGGTTAAGGTTTTTATGCCTTACGAATCTGGAAGCACTATTTGAACATTATCAAAATTTAAAGTTGTTTAAGTGCCGCAAGCCTAATATTTTTTGATGGCGGCCATTGCTTGTTTACATTTGAAACAGCAGTGTAGCGGATTTGTTGCCATTTAGCGAAAACTTAGCATCGTAACAACAAAGATAACGCCTTCATTTTATTGCGACTAATCATGCTTAATGCTTCTGGAATTTTTTTGAGGAAATAAGTGTTAGATTTACTTTGTAATTTTAATACGGTATTTTGAGTTTTTATGTTTTTGCCTTGTCGCGAAGAGGAGAATGAATTAATGAATGAAATACTAAATCGTCTGTGAAAACTGTTTCTTTTTTGTTTTGTTTGCTTAATTTCTTGTACACATCGTTCTAGCTTTGTTATAGTATTTGAGTAGAACATGTGGCAACGATAAGATAATTCTTCAAATGATATAAATTTTGTGCATTCTGAGTTATAATATGAACGAAATATTAAGCAAACCTAGCGCCAGACTGTCGCTATGGCAAACAAATATAGTGAATTTTAAAGAGTGCATTTATTCTATAGTGGTTTATGCACTGTCGACAAAGTAGATTTAATTCAATCCAATAAGTTTAAATGAAATGAAAAAAAAAAAAAATGCGTACAGTCAAAAGTCGTTAATCCGGACTCGGGACTTCGGCGATTCCAGATTATCGATTTTTCCGGATTATAGATTATCAGTTTAAATCGCGTATGATGGCATGCAGAAATTCTAAAATTAAAAATATGAAACCATAATTTATGAAATAAAGAACAATTATGATCTAAAGGGTATCAAAATTTACAAAAAAAAGCTTAATATTTATTTGTTTACTTTATTAAACATTTCTTTCAATGTAAGTTGTTTAAGTTGCTTCGTTTTATGTGATAATACTTTCTCTTTAATTCTATAAACAGACATAATTTCTTGTTCAGTCACAAAGTTCCGCTGTTCAAGTCCTGTTAATTGCTGTGCCGAGAATACCGACTAACTTGTTAATCGAAATTTTTTCGTTTTCACTAACCTCTCTGTCACATTCATGTCTTTATCCATTTTTTGCAGCAATTCCACTTTTTGTTTGATGGACATCGAAACATACTTTCGTTTTGTACGATCCTTTTGGAGCTCCAGATTGGGAAATTCTATTTGACATAATCAAAAGTTCAAGTTTACTTTTATAGTATTGCTCTTAGAGTCTGCAAAAAATAATAAGCTGGATCCAATTCAAAAATTAAGGAACAACGCAATCATCAACATTAACTAAAATAGATAATTTTAGCTTATACCGTTCGTTATACATAAAACGCGCACGCGAAAACGTATTCTGCGCTTGTGCGCACGCATATGCGCAGTCATAAGAGGTCTTACGTGCACGCATAAACGCCTATGCGCGTGTGTCAATGCGGCGCATGCGCAGAAAGTTTTTAGCTTTTGAGGTCTGGATTATAGATCATTCCGGATTATGGGTGTCCGAATTAACGACTTTTGACTGTATAATTTAATATTTCGTACAAGGAAGTCGTGGTATACACATCAGATTTTTTTAATAAAAGAAGTAATAGATGCTAAAGAAAAAAAAAATTGATGGCATAGCAAATTATTTATATTAATTAGCATTTATTATGAAATGGAAAAACTGGCATTAGTTATTTCTAAGAAACAGTATAGCTTCGACAAAATTTTCTTTGTGAGGGCCCGTAGATCTGATTTGATAAACTTAAGAGATGAGAAGAGTCTTTCCACATTAATTTGAGTAGGAGTAAGAGCTGTTACTGTTAGGGCTACTTCTTTTAACTTTTCAGGAGAGATTTTTTACAAGCTCTAAAAGAGGTTTCTTGCAAGCAAGCGCAATCATATTTCTCTATTTCTTCAAAGGCATGTAGAAATCTTGTTTATATTTTTTCATTTTTATATCTAAAGGCTCCTGTTTTTTATTTTCATTATTTTTTATTTTTCATTTCTTAGCCGTTTCAATATTATCTAGAAAATTTTCTCAAAATCTAATTCATCAATGGAAAAGGATGATAGAGACTCAATTGCAATGTCTGCAGTTTGACTGTCCTGATTCGATTGTTCTGAGAATAATTTCATTCTTAATGAAGTTCATAGATGACTTTCTTTGCCTTTTAATTTGTTCGTCATCCAAGAAATTCGGTGTTTCTGATCTCCGTATATTGAACCCAGCAAGATCTCATTGTCTAGCAAACTAGTTTCTCTTTTCTTCATTGAAGAAATGATTCCTTCTGCAATAAACCCTCCATTTCAGAAAGAATAAACATCACATTCTTCCATTCTCGTCTTCTGTCAATTCTTGAGATTGCAGCTTTTTTGTGGCTATATACGGTGTAGGAAGAAGAGTTTCCAATTCTGCAAGATCATTCTACAGCTTTTCTGTTAGTGAAACATTAGGGTTATCTACGTCTTCTAAAAGTTCTTAATTCTAACAACCTCATTTTCATCAAATATGTACTTCCTTATCGCGTTACTTGATCAATAATTGCTCCTTTTCCTGCTCGATTCCTAAGAAGGGCATCAATTTTAGGAGTTCTTGCTGCTATTGCTGCTTACCTAAATTTACCAGTGAGATTTGTAACTAAATGAATCAGTTTAATCACTAATGGCAAATATCACATCCATCCTCCCTTATATTTATTTATTAATAGGTCAATAAAACGGAAAATAACTATTTATTAATGTACACAGTTTAAATAAAAATAATAACTCAGCCTGCCATTAATTTTTTCAATTCATTTAAATTTCATTTCAAATTCAGACTGTCCAACGAAAACTGGAGTCGGAGTCGACCTACTTTCAGCGACTCCAGCTCCGACTCTTTTTATCCCAAAATCTACCCGATTCTAACTCCGACTCCACAGCCCTGTGTTTATACTGTTGTATGAAAAACTTTTGGAGTTCAAAAGTTCCTTTTTTTCAGTCAGACGTCATTAACCGTTTGCCTAGTTACTCAGAGTTAATCGATCATCGAAAATTTGTCAAATATAGTTATTAAGAGTTAACTCATGTTTCATGGTGTACTTTTTTTATTTATTCCAAATAGACTTGCATTGTGCTTTACAGCGGTGATCTTCACGATGTTTTGTTATCAGACTACACAAATTTTATGTCGTGTGTCTTTTGCCTCAGCATCTGGGCAACCTTTCCAACTGCATGTAGGGCGTTAGTTTAATAAGTCAATCTTTTATCCAATTTTTTAGGAAGATTGTGAATTATTGGAGGCTTCTAGAGAGGCGGTTGGGATAAGAGATTCACAGAAACATGCATCTTTTGTGTAGTGTAACTTGCATTGTGAAGCATCATCGTACTATAATAGGATTTTCAGAATTTTCCTGAATTCTGGTTGAATTTTTCAAACTTAATTTCTTCTTTGCTTATAAAATGAATCTGAATTGAAATAATTTTTTTTTTTTTTTGGCACGAATTTTTGTAAAAGTGAAACACTCTCTGAAAAGAAATATGCTGTTAACCACAGATAGTAAAAAAAAATATAAAGAAATGAAACTCTGACATGAGTAATTGCATACAAGTTTTCTTATGTTAACTTTTCATTCCAAGAATCAGTCATTTGGTAATTCAGGAAATGGCATTTTGAAAAATCAACAAATAATGCTGCATCATCAAACGTTGATATAATTGATATATTACAGCATATCAGCAGCTGTCTTATCAGTATGAATTTTTGGATGAACTGATTCACTTTAATATTGAGAGTTCAAGGTTTAGAAATTCTTTATAAATTTAGTCATTCGTGGATGGGGGAAAATATAAATTAAATAAATAAAGTATGTTTGATGAAAAATCTTGAATTTGTTGATATTTTTAGCACTTTTATTGTTTTGAAAATTTTTTGTAGATAGTAGGTTTTGCAAATTAAGATTTTTTAAATAATTTTTGATGTGTTACATAATACTATCTTAAGGTAATAAACCTTTTCAAAAATTTTGTTTCAAATCTGATATTTCAGTTCCTTTGCTAATTTTTCATTTCAACTTTATTCTTGACCTTTTTAACTTTTTATGTGCTTGTTGCAATGGATGCCAAGAAACAATAATAGATGCAATATTGTTTCTTATTTTCTTGAATAAGTTTGCGTTTAATATTTCTAAAAATAACATTGATCACTTTTAAATATTGGATTATCAGGAACTGCTTTTTCTGTGCAATTAAATGTGTATTTTTTTTAATTAAAATTATATGGAACTTGCATTTTTATCTAGTTGAGTTTTGTTTAATAGAACTTGTATTTTGATTTACTGAAACAAATTACTTTCATCAAAAAGAAATAATTTCTAAAGTGTTTACTTGTTTATATTATTAATTTTGTTACTGTAAATTTTCTAAACTTTAAAAATGTTGTGCAAAAAGGAGTGAATCTGCTGTAGAAAATTGTAATTAATCTTCTCCATTTTTTACGAAATACTAGATTACAAAATGCCAGAGCATTCTTAGAATAATAATCCTTTGAGACCAAGTGATGTGGTCCTACTTTCATTCATTGCCTGTTTTGTTTCTCTAACTTTTTGGGTATTTATGTATTAATGCAACCACCTTGACACAATTTGGCAATTTTTTACAAGTGAAAGGGCAGAAGCTACTCATTTGAGTGCAAATTGGTGGTTTTCGTGTCCCCCCCTTTTTTTTTCGAAAGATTCCCAAACTATTGATGTTTAGCATAAGTCGGTAAAATTATCAATATATGAAAAGAAAATATACTTTAGCAATTTAAAATGCAAATTTTAATTATTAAATAACGATTATGGTTATACATTAAAAAAGTACGTACTTTTTCGTTTTGCCAGCACAAATCTCGCCAAGCAGACTTTATTGGCGACAGCATACAGTATATGCATAAAAAATGTTAACAAATGTTAGTTCTAAGAATTTTTTATTTTAAAGGCATAAACATTTTAATATCGTTTAAAAATTTTGTAAAAAGCCAATAAATAAAGACAATAAGTTTGTAAAAGGACATTAATTTAAGAACTTGCTATGCTTTTTATGGTTCAAAATCCTGATTCGCCGGTTCATATCACGTGACCCCATGTGATCTCATCTCACATAGACTACGCTACTAAAATCTAATTCTCTCAATAATTATCTACATTAATTTCAAATTAAATCTTAATTTGGAATACAAGTTTAAATGCAAGAGTTATTTCAATTCGTACAAATAGCTTACTCAGAAATTATATAAAACCACAGTGCTTTACTTTGCTAGTGCATTCTCATTAGGAATGATGAATTTAACCCTTCACTTTGCCTTTTCTGTATTTTCGCTTTTGGGTGAGTAGCGTGATTGCATCCTAATTGACTTAATTACTGCGAATGGCCTTAGGGTATAAAATTGAACTCTTTGGTAAAAATTCTATGTAATTCTATACCAGTATTGAATGAAACAATCAATATGATAAGAAATGGCTGTCACTTGTTTTGAAAATGAGGTGTAAAAGGTTACCAGCGAGGATATTCCGCTTGGCATCAGTTGTATCATTATTAGCGACTTTATCGCCTGCACCAGCAAAACGGCAAAGTACCAAAAAATAAAACACTTATGTACTTCTTCAAATCATTGTCATTTTTTGTGCTATTCTTCTCCTGAAGTACACGGGAGAGTATTTTTGCTTTAAGAAAAATCGGATGTACACAGCAGTCTATTTTTGCTTTAAAAAACATCGGAGAACTTTTGCTTAAAAAAAAACATCGGAGACTGCTTTCATAAACCTCAGCAACAGTGGCTATCTAGAAAACACATTTCTTCTTGTTCCTTTAGAAATTTTAACCAAAATTATGTATTTCTCCTAAAATTTTATAGCAGTACCTTCCACTTCTGGCAAATTCCACAAGCTCGTATTTTGAAACTATTTTAAGGCAAAAAATATCGCAATTTGTTCATAAAAATATTTAGAACTTGGAATACAACGTGAAAGAATGCATACGAAAATGGCAACATTGGTTGAATAAAGGATTGATATGAGTGTGGTTGCCAGAAGAACGGTTATGCACATGGTTGCCAGAGTTTGGCAGATTCTGAAAATTTGGTGACTTCTAAGCTGGATTGTGTTAATATGCAAGTACCGCATTTTTGGGTTATGGCTTCATAGTTTTTGTTTTTTATAGTTATATATATATATATACACATAAATTTAAATTGTTTACTAAGAACACAGCTAAACCAAACTGGAAATAACTAAAAGATATGCTTACTTTTGAAGATATATCCCTGATACTCTCATTTTCAAACTCAAATACAAAGGTAATAACAAAAGTTATATATTTTTTAATATTTAAAAAGTAATTCAAAATCAAAAGAAGATCAAAATTCTTAAAATGAGTTATTTAAAAGAAGATTTTTTAAAGGTCAAACCCAGGAAAGAAATTAACTTGTATACCTGCTAAAATTTAAAACAAAATGACTGGAAATGCAATTGTGTTTAGTTGTTGGAAGGTATCATGAAAAATATTGTTTTCTGTTTAAGAGAGTTTAGCCTTAAATTGGCGATAAAATGTTTGAAAGTTTCTTGGAGATAGTATATTGATGCTGGCATTAAAATAGTGCTTAAAGCTGCCATTTAGTTGGAATATAAATTCTAAATAAAAGTAAGTATATTGATGCTGGCATTAAAATAGTGCTTAAAGCTGCCATTTAGTTAGAATATAAATTCTAAATAAAAGTAAGTATATTGATGCTGGCATTAAAATAGTGCTTAAAGCTGCCATTTAGTTAGAATATAAATTCTAAATAAAAGTAATAAGTAAATTAAGATGCCTGTGACCTGCACTAAAGCTGCAAATTAATAAACCAATAATTTATAGTTAGAAAACTGTTCATATACCATCTTCAGGAAACAGAAATTGAATTAAAACCATGAATATTTTAGATTTAAAAATTAGTATTTTCTAAACCACTATTGCTTCTGCTCAACAATTATTCACTTATGCATTTTTTAATAAATTTTTAGGATTAAAAAATTATTAGAATTATTATACATGTATTATATATTCATAGATTTAGATACTTGCACTTGATTTACGTATGCTCTCAGAATTTAAATATTGTAGATTAGTTCGCAGCAATAATTAATCATTTATTTGTAATTCAGTTTCATTTAAAATTTAGTTAACTTTAAATTTGCTTTTTATGAATAGAGAATGTTTGTTAAAATCTGTATACATATATATAATTTAATGCTTTACCATTCTGAATGGTATATTAGTTAAGGGAAGCTGACTGCTAGTCTGAAATCAGTGATGCAGGTTCAACCTGTATGTAAGACTTGGCTTGATATGTTTTCTTTGTCTTTGCTTGAAGGAGTAATTAGGTCACTCCATTTGCTGCATGGCCATCATTTACATGGGCAACTCTCTCTTGGTGAATTGCTTAATGACCAATGGGTTAGACCTAACCAGCAAGCATCCGGCTATACAGTGCAGTAGCACTACATATGTACAACAAATGGTGAAATCCTGATGTCCTGCACACTTCTACCTAGAGTTAGATTAAATAACAATTCGTATCTGTATTTTGAGATTTTTATTTATTTTTTTTTTATGAATGAAACCTTCTAAGACATGGTCATGTAATTCTAGTTTGTGGAGGTGGATTGTAATCATGCTCAATATTCAATTTTATTTATGTTTTTTGAAACATTAGTCATTCTGAGATGTTGTTGCTGTGGTAGTTTTCACTGTATGTACAATTATTTACAAGACAGAAATGATCGTGTTAAAAGTATTTAACTTTCAGATTAATTATAGTTTTCTGTACATAATATAATTTCATTTCTTTACAGGAGTCCATGAAATCGAAAGCTCCTCAGTTACATTTAGAATATAGGTTTTACAAATTACTTGGTAACCAAGGTAAGGAAAATGGTTTTCTTTAAATAAATATGGATAGTTTTGGATAGAATGAAAATTACTTTTATATTCTGTATTAGTAATTTAGTGAAAAGATGTTTTCTATGCGAAATTAGTAGCGTGAATGTTTTCTGTTTGCAGTCCATGTTTTTCTTTTTATCTCCTTTCCTTTTTTTAAAGTGTCACAGTATAAAAATTGGTATGTTTAAAATATTAGAACTGTTTAAGTTGAGAATTTTGTAGAATGGGTATAGGAAACGTTTGACCATTTTATGAAATTAAATTAAAAACTTAATACTTATAATTAACTTAAAATTAAAAATACTTATTAAAATACTACTTGAAGAAAGAGCTCAATATCAGTATTTTGTCAGGATATCAGTTATAGAACTTGATTCTAAGATATCTAAGTGAAGATTTTGCCTAAATTTAAACAGATTATTTAAATTATAGTTTGTAAAATTTGAGTAGTTTTTTTCCATTCATTATTCTTTAACACAGTTGAATTTCTTACTATTTTTTGAGAAATTTAATGTGTTATGAATGATAAATTTCTATTAAAAAGGCTTGGAGTTTTTAAGAAGTGTATATGCGTATGCGTATGTAATAATATATTTTTTTGATAATGGGTAGCATTGATACATAAGATTACTGGTACACTGCACAAAAAAAGGGGGGACAGTTCCATATCACTGGTTCAATTGACGAAATTCAAATTTCATTTTTCACATCCCGAAAGCGTGACTTAGGATATATATTAGATTTATATATAGCATCATTCCAACATAGGTATTTTGATACAAAATTGGACTTTTTCTGAAATAGCATATCATTTTTTTCCCATATTGCGATTCTATGACTCTTTATGCCAGATATTAAGTTTTGAAATTTTTTATGGGAAATTTATGAAGAAATTTAAAAATTTATCTTGGCGCTTTTTTTTTTTTTTTCCAGTTTGCACCAAGAATAATTCACATGGCAGAATTCCTAATTTATAGTAACCTAACTTTAATTTTTTTCATTGATGCACAAGAGGAAAAATGGTCTATTGTTCATTCTTTCAAATAATTTTTACAAAGTGTGTAAATCACATTTTCGTTATTATCCCTTATATTAAATACACCAAATTTCAGAACGTACCAAAATGTAAATTCATGTGTATCTTAGGAAATTTTGAATAAAAACTCTTAATTTTTTGCAGATATGCTTAGAATTAATTACACCTTCTTTAAGATGATATTAAAAATTTTGTAGGTATAATACAAAAATTGTTTAAAAAATTTAATAAAAAATATTTAAAAATACAAATTTTTAAATAAATTTAAAAAATATGCAAATTATATTTGGATTAAGCCTAAATTTCGAATTCTGGAGGAAGAAATCAAGTAAGTTTAATAAAAAAAAGAGAGATTAATAAATATACATCAAATTCAATTAACATTCAGGAGCTAATTTTTAAAAAGCTAGTTGGGCAATTTTTACAAAACTTGGCAATTTGTCATAATTTGAGTTGAAGAATTAAATCGAAATATAGAAAAAAATTGGCATACCATTTCAGAAATTTTGTGTCAAAATACCTATATTAAAACAGTGCTATACAGTCAAAAGTCGTTAATCGGGACTCGTCTGGACTTCGGCGATTCCGGATTATCAATTTTTCTGGATTATAGATCATCAGTTTAAATCTGGTAAGATGGCATACAGAAATTATAAAATTAAAAATATGAAACCGTAATTTATGAAATAAAGAACAATTATGATCTAAAGGGTATCAAAATTTACAAAAAAAAGCTTAATATTTATTTGTTTACTTTATTAAACATTTCTTTCAATGTAAACTTAAGTTGCTTCGTTTTATGTGATAATACTTTATCTTTAATTCTATAAACAGACATAATTTCTTGTTCAGTTGCAAAGTTCCGCTGTTCAAGTCCTATAATTGCTGTGTTGAGAATACCGACTAATTTGTGAATCAAAATTTTTTCGTTTTCAATAACCTCTGTGTCACTTTCTTCACTATTGGAAGCGAATTATAATGACGAGGAATTTGATATAAAACATATCAAAGATGGAGTACATCGAGATGAAATACTACATTTAATAAGGAATTATAAGCCAAATAAAATAAAAACATCTGCCCTGAAGATAGTGCTGAAAGATCAACTTCCAATTCATTGAGCGCCTCGATGTCCCCCCCCCCTGCCGCAGAGCAGCGTGAAATTAATAAACAGATTTTGGAATAGGTAGAGAAATATGCCTTTATCCATTTTTTGCAGCAATTCCACTTTTTGTTTGATGGACATCGAAACATACTTTCGCTTTGTAGATCCTTTCGGAGCTCCAGCATCAGAATTTTTATTTGACATAATCGAAAGTTCAAGCTTACTTTTATAAAATTGCTCTAACAATCTGCAAAAAATAATAAGCCAGATCCAGTTCGAAGATTAAGGAACAACACAATCTGCAACATTAACTGAAATAGATAATTAGATAATTTTAGCTTATACCGTCCGTTATACATTAAATGCGCATGCGTAAACGTATTATGCGCATATGCATATGCGCAGCCGTAAAGGTCTTATGCGCATGCATTAACGCCTATGTGCGTGCGTTAACGCTACGCATGCGCAGAAAGTTTGTAGCGTTGAGGTCCGGATTATGGTTCATTCTGGATTATGGGTGTCCGAATTATCGACTTTTGACTGTATATAAATCTAATATATATACTAAGTCGTGCTTCCGAGACATGAAAAAAGCAAGCTGAATTTGTCAATCGGCCCAGCAAACAGGAGGTATAGAACTATCCTCCCTTTTTTTTTTTTTGCATAGTGTACATACATGCTTTACTTGTTTGTACATTACTCTGGTATAGTAAAGATAGTAGCAGTCCTCATGCTGGTTGAACCCTTTCTTTTATTGTTGACATCAAATTTTTTTACACAATCATGCGAAATCGATGCAGTGTACATGCTCGTTCTTGATTACATTTCTGCCCTTTTTTTAAATATCTTTATAACAAATAATTTGATGAAAGAAATGTAAGAAGTGACATCGTAGCACATCAACAAGCAAGAGAAAACTAGGCAGATTTTAGTATGATGGTTTAGTTGAGCATAAAGCTGTTTTGATTTAACTTCATTCCTATTACCAATTTAAGTTTGCAAATTTTAATATTATTGGCTGAAGCATGATGTAACTACTTGCATCAGTAGCATTGTTTGAGAACTGTGAGTAGCGGGGATTAATTTTAAAATTATGCAGTTTAGAGTTGCATATTTATTATGTTATTTTGTTTTACTTATTCTTTATTTTACACATACACATTGGCTTCCCAAAGTTAAGCAGATAATACAGATTAGCAATTTTTGAAATTGTAGTTGAATTTGAGTGGTTGAAAATCACCAAGCGCAGATAGCAGTATACAGATATTGCACATTAATTACAGCTGACCACAATTCATTGCCCGAACATTTGCCAATTATGTAGGTGTTGAAGATGCCAGCATTTGGCATGAAGGGTGTGAGAAGGTTCATTAAAATGCTGATATGAAGTGTTTATAATTTCCATAGTTTAATTTTTGATCACATTCATGTTCTTATTGCTAAAAGAAGATAAGGAGTGTTGTGCTGTCAGATGGATGGAAGCAGGGCAATTTATCAAAGATGTCATTCTTTGGTGTTGAACATTAATTTCTTCAGTATGGGGGGGGGATATCGAACAAAAACAAAGAGTTATCTAGAGACCTGTGCCTGTTGGAGCAAGTGTTAACACTCCTGATCATTAAGATAAAATAACACGGCGAACAAGTATTAATTTAGAACCATCATCAGCGTACCATCTAAACTGTGAAAATTTGCAAATATAAAGCTGATTTTTGTTGTTTGACTTCTAAATTAATACTCCTTCTGATATTTGGTATATTATCAAGTACCCAAGCAGTATTGATGAGCAACCTCCACAACTTTTATATCCATGGTTTGCATCATCCATTTGGTAAGACATTATCTGTTGGTGTGCGTCAAAGGCTGTACACGGCGAAATTGTGCGCTTGATTGCCAAGGTGTTTGTATTCCACTAATCGCCCAAATCCAGAAGGGCAAGATTAAAGTTATATCATCAACATCTAAATTAGACCGTCTGAGATTGGCATAATGTTATGATTATGGATGAATCCAGATTTACTCTGGAGTCAAATGATAAGCATGTAAGGGCATGGGGAGAAAGAGACACACAGAATCAAGTTCAGAACATCATCAAACACCATGTATTTGGAGGTAGTAGCATCATGGCATGTGCTAGAATTTCTGTGGATATTACAGATCTTTAAAGACCATCTGTGACTGTTGTGTAGTATCAGGATGAAGTCCTACATCTTATTTTGAGACTGTCATCAAAATCCAAAACCATGAGCCAAAATCATTAACAAGTGCCTGGAAAATGAGGGTATTTCTCTTATGAAGCAGCTGGCATATTCTCTTGATCTTAATTCCACTGAAAGTGTTTAAGGTGATCTCGTGTGTACTTTTTCTGCTCGTACACCTCCTGCCAGGCTCGGCTAGCTAGAAACTGCCCTAATGAAGAAATGGCAATTGGTAGCATCTGTGATTGTTTATCACCTCATCAAAAGCATGGGCAAAAGGCTGTAAAATTTGTGTGAAGATTGGGGGGGGGTGTCATTTACCTTATTACTGCAAGTTTATAAGTAATGTTTTGTTTTTTTAGCATTAAACATCAATTTGATAATGATCCAAATATGACATCAGTATATAATGTATGAAAATTAAATATTGTTTTCATTATTATAAATAATGCTGTTTTCTTTCATGCATTTGCTACTTTCATATGCAATTTAGTATTAACCAAAGCTGTGCCTTTCCTTTTTTGTTGATTTTACTGCTGTGAGCTTAACTTTTGGAAGCCTGTATATATTGTTTGAAGTTTCTTTCTTTCTTAATTTTTTAAAATTTATTTATTTATTTTGCAGAAGGCATACCAAAGGTGTTTTATTTTGGACCATGTGGTAAATATAATGCACTTGTAATGGAGCTCTTAGGTCCAAGCTTAGAGGATCTATTTGATTTATGTGATCGAAAATTTAGTCTTAAAACAGTCCTTATGTTAGCTATACAACTGGTAAGTATTTTTATTTACATTCTTTTGTTGATGATATCTAGATTAATTATGTTAGTTATGTTGCAAAATTGTCTTATGTTATAGGCATATATGCATACTTTATTTGCCATTTTAAAAGTTACCGTATACCACAGAAGAGAAAGGTAAAGGATAAGTGATAAGAAAGTAACTGTAGCTCCAACTGTCTTCTTGATAGAAGCATGAAATTTTCTTTAACTTATTGTTTTTAGACTCAAACAAAAATAAGTATTAATTAGTTTTGAAATTAATTTCTAAATATAAGAATAGGATATTAAATAACTATAAAATGTACATATATTCAAAAATCTAATTAAGGGTATAACATTTCTCATAAGAAAAACACAAAAATTATCAATGATTATCCATTCTGTTTGCATAAAAGTTTTTATATTGCTATAGCAAATTCTGCTGCTTCTTTGAGACTGGAGTCCTGAAATATGTCAACCTCAAGCATCTAAACATGCTTAATCATTTTAAGACAAGGAATACATAGGATAATAAATTGTGCAAATATCATCCCTTTTCAAATGAATAGAGAGGAGTGTTACTGAATGATTCAGGTTTCATTAAGATTCTATCCTTGGCAGCTACTTCAAAATGTTTCATGTATGAATTTAAGATCTTATGTCTGTCTTAGCATTTAAGGAATGACCTTGAATGATATGCCAATCTGTGTGGTTGTTCTACGTAAATTATGATTTCTGCATTTTTCAGGTCTCATTTTTGCCCTTTAGGGGTTCACTCTATCATAGTACCCTACTCTTTAAGGGATCACCATCTTGGTGAGATGGGATCATGATCCTGGAGCCCTAGTGATCTTCCCTCATTTCCTTCTCATCTCTCCTTAACTGTTATTTTTCCATTCCTTCCTCCTTTGTGGTTTTCCTTTTTGGAGATTAGAGGCTCAAAGTCAGATGCTGTTACTTTTCTTTGTTTCTAGTTTCTCACGGAGAAAAAACTGCCTGCGTATCATAACTTGTAAGGCTGGAAAGGAGCTGGTAGTTGAGGGGCAAGGTACTGTCCCCAACACACTGTTTTAGAATCTGCTTGAGATTGAAACGAGTGGCACTTTGTTGTTCCTGCTAGTGTCAATAGGTTAGTCATTTATCCTTCAGATCAGTAGCTTGGAGATAAGCTTTTGGGAGATCCTGCTTTTGGGAAAGCTGACTGTGTGCTTCAGATTGCATATAGACCTGGTTACCCCTGGCTCTGAATCCTTTTGTTGGATTCTGTGGTTGGGAGGCAGGGCTGGTGGGTCCAAACCTTTTTTTTTCTTTATGGACTCTTTAAATCAGCAAAGTGCTAGTGTAAATGAGACATTAAAAATAAATAAAATAAAAATGTGTAAAATGAATGAATTCAAAAATACACCTAAATTTCTATTTATTATTAGCTCCACTGGAAAGTTACAGAAAATTTCACCATTCTTCTTACATAAATACTTACAAGCTCATGCGGGAGAACCAAGGAACTTGAAATGACTGCAATCTGGTGATCTTCTTGTCAAAACAGTTTCTTCCGCTCAATCTATTTCTGTTGTTGGATTAAAGAAGCTTGGACATATCAGTGTTACTATTTCACAGCATAAAGTATTGAATTATTGCCATAACATTATCTCCAAGGTTGATCATCTCTCTGTTTGGAGAGGAAAATGTCTCGGAGCTTTCTGACCAGTACGTCTATGCTGCTAGGGGGATCAAGATGTGCAGAGAAGCTCAGTTGATAAATATGAAACACGTAACATAACACAGAAAACAATACCCTTAATAATCAAAATGCCCTATAACGGAAACAAAAGATAGCAAAGCAAAGGAAAAAAAAAAAAAAAAATTGCAGCACTGCATAGGAATCCAAGTGTGAGCTCCTTTGGGAGCATAAGTTCAAAAGATTTAAATTCTGATATAGATGTGGAAGTGGGAGTGAACATCCAGAGACACCTGCTACTATGTAAAACAAAAACACAGCACCTGAAAAATGAACATCAGTCACAATGACCACCCTCGTTTCATGGAAATGTAGTGGCTTTCACTGAAATCTTGTTAATATCAAAGACTTCATTGATAAACATCATCTTATGTCTTTGGCTGTACAGGAGACTCTACTGAAACCAGAGAAAAAAGCTAAACTTCAAAGGTTCTCATTTATCAGAGAAGACAATCATGTAGATCTTTTCACTTCACTTGACTACCCCTTCTGTTCATTTCCAACAAGCCTTCGAGCTTTCACCATTCAAATAAATATGAGGATTCTGGTTTCAGTTTGTTGCATCTATTTGCCACCAAATGAATCAGTCAATTAACAAGATTTGAAAGATTTAACAGAGCAGCTGCCTAAACCTTTTATCTTAAAAGGAGACTTTTAATGCCCATAGTCCGCTCTGGGGAAGTATAGACAAAAATTTTCAAGGAAGACAAATTGAGCAAACGATCGCAGATCATTACCTTTATCTCCTCAATAATGGACAGGATACCTACTTACATGAACCTGCAATGCTTGTAGGCTTGCACGAGGTAAATTTCAAGCACTAGATCTTGCAATCTGTTCACCACTTTTGCCCTTTTAAATTTTGTAAATTTAGTGCAGGGAATGATCTTTATAATAGCGATCATTTCCCCGTTTTCACATCTCTTGCTCGAGAAGGAGTAATTCCCTTGTCAAGATGCCCCTGGTTTATACTTGATAGGGCAGACTGGGAAATCTTCCAATATCTTGCAGAGATCACAGGAGAAACAGTAAAAGATGATGCTTTGAAAGCCTTTACTGATATTATTATTCAAGCAGCTGCTATGCTTGGGGAGTCTGTCATAGTCTCCTCTTTGTCAAACCTTACAGCCTTTGAAAAAAAATGGGCCATGTGATGAACACAGCAGAAGAAATAATTAACCTTTGCTACCATTTCGATTGGCAGCAATTACCTACCTGCCAGCATCTCTTTTTGCAAAGCATCAATTAGAGCAGTGGCTCTCAACCTTTTAACTACCGCATACCATCTAAACAAAAATTTAAAACCTTTTGTACCACCACCGCTCTTGAATAAAGCTCAGATCGCATAAATTTACAACTGTTAGGAAAAAACCTTAATCAAGGTGTTGGGGTTTTAATTTTTGAATTTAAAGGTAAAAATACTTTGTTTCTTTGAGTATCACCTATTTTTCACTTGCGTACCACCTGTTGAGAACCCCTGAATTAGAGAAAATTTCCATTATATTGTAGTTCATCCGCAGTGTTCATTTCAGTAGTCTATCGAACATTAGTGGCTGTTCCTGCAAATAAAACTTCTGACATTCAGTCTTTAGAGCAGGGTGATAGAAAAGCTTTCAAATATCATTACGGGAAAGATAATTCTTTTAACGTTTTGTGTGGCTGCTTTGAAAATAAATTTTTGCTACTTTTCCTTTTCGCCAGCGCAAATCTCACTAAGCAGACTTTATTGGCGACAGCATACAGTATATGCATAAAAAATGTTAGTTCTTAGAGTTTTTTATTTTGAATTCATAAAAATTTTAATATCATTTAAAATTCTGTAAAAAGCCAATAAATAAAGATAATAAATTTGTAAAATAACATTAGTTTTAAGAATTTACTATGCTTTCATGGTTCAACATCCTGTTTCGCCATTTCGTATCACATGACCCCAGGTGATCTCATCTCACATAAACTACCCTACAAAAATCTAATTCTCTCAGTAATTATCTACATTAATTTCAAATTAAATCTTAATTTGGAATACAAGTTTATATGCAAGAATTATTTCAATTCGTATGAAAAGCTTACTCAGAAAATTATGTAAAATCGCAGTGCTTTATTTTGCTAGTGCATTCTCATTAGAATTGATGAATTTAACCCTTGACTTCGACTTATTTTTTATTCGAATTTAACCCTTGACGACCCTATATTTCCGCCTTCGAGTGAGCGATGTGACTGCATCATAATTGACTTAATTACCATGAATGGCCTTAGGGCTTAAAATTGAGTTATCTGGTAAAAATTCTATGTAATTGCATGCCAGTAGTGAAAGAAAGAATCAATCTGATAAGAAATGACTGTGACTTGTTTTGAAAATGAGGCGTTAAAGGTTACCAGCGAGGATATTCCGTTTGGCATCAGTTGTACCATTATTAGCAACTTTATCGCCTGCGCCAGTAAAATGAAAAAGTACCAAATTTTTTTAATATAAATGTTAAAAAATAAATGTAAGGCGCTGCATGAATTCTGATTGTAGTTTCATGAATAATGAAATATAGCAAACTCTTCCAACTCGGAGTCTTATAATGGCAGTTTTACTATACTGGAACTGATGAGAGCATTGTTGAAGACACATAGGACTAGTCTGGGTACAAATGGTGAAATGCTGGCTCTCTCTCCTATAATTCTTTGGTTGCCCTTCTGACTTTTTAAAATCGTATGTGGAAGGAGCGTAGTTTTCCCAGCACATAAGGTGTATTCATTCCCATAACTAAGACTGTTAAAGACCTGAAGGACTTCTAACTATTGTCCCATCGCACTGACATGTTGCAAGTGCAAGTTACTGGAAAATAATGGTAAATCATTGTTCAGTTTATTGCTGAAGGTTAGAAATTTTTAAGTAAGGATTGGTTCTGTTTTCAAGAAGAAGAACGAGGTGAACCTTTTATGGTCTAATATGTATATTAGCTCCCATGAAAGGACTCATATCTCTGATTTATATACCTTTGATCTGACATTCTTTTGGTTAAATTCCAGTTTTTTTAATGCAAAAATCTAAATTACAAAAGTTGCCTTTTCTGAGTGATACGGCTTTCTTGGGATTATAAGTAACTTTGACAGCATTAGCAGAATTGTGATAGAACTTGCTTTCAAACCAAGAAGTAATGATAATTACTGTAATCTACAAGAGAAATTTAATTATTTAGACTCCAGTTATTCAATTTGGTGTTTATTTAGTATGCGATCTAACATTTTTAGTTAGTTGTTTCATAAATGACAGCACTGAAATGCTATTTTTAGATATGGAAATAGATAGGAACACATAAATAAAAATTCTATTGATTAATTTAACAACCAATTAAGTTTTAAATTTCACTAAATTTAAAAGTTAATGTTACTAATAAGTGCAAGTTGGCAATTTTGGCAAATTTAAAAAAAAAAAAAAAAAAAAAAAACCAACAACATTTGATATTTATCATATCTCAGGAAACATACACCATATTAAAAAGAAAATAACAAAAAATGATGATTAAAATACTAATTAAAAATATAAAAATGATAATTAAGCATTACATATAATGTATGATATATGACTCTTGTTCTTTACATGTACACAACGATATGTTTTCATTTAAGAAAACCTTAGAGAATTACATAAATTCGACATTGTGCCCATTAAACATTATATATATATAAAATATGTGTTATTGTTTTCTCCCCATGTACATAGTAATTTGTTTTCACTTCAAAAAAAAAAAAAAAAAAAGTGAAGAGAATTCCACAAGCTCCATATCATGTGAAGTTCTGGTAATGCACACATTAAATATTACATAGATTATATAATATATTATTATTCTCCACATGTAACAACAATCTGTTTTCCCTTGAAAAATTTCAGAGAATTGCATAAAGTTGTCATCATGCAGTGTGTCGACACTGTACACATTATATGTGTATTGAAAAATTATGTGATACATTACTGTTTCTGTACCTATGCACACAGCAATATGTTTTCACTAAAAAAAAAATCAAGGAAATGCAGAAACTATTGCACACCTGCTATGGTCAATTATAAATCATTAAATAAGGATTATGTGACACATAAAAAAATTAAACACTTTTTTTGAGAAATTTAGTTACCTGGGTAAACCTTCTATTCTTATGCCGCTTCCAAATAAAAGTAAGTTCTTTTCTTTCTACAAAACTCATATTATCATTACACGCAGAATATTTAACCTTCTTCAAAATTAAACCCATTTCCATACACCACTGTAAAAAATCATACAAGAATCCTAAATCATACCTAATCAAAAATCCTAAATCATGGTGGAAAGCATGATGCACAAAAACAAAATGGAACTCAAACAGAAATTCTGTTTTCGTTGCTTAAAACATAAAATTTAAAAATTAACAAATAGCATTCAAAAACAGACAACACATGATAAGAAGATATAATGCCCACAGTCCCACTGATCAGTTATCATAAAATCAGTTATCTGATAATGAAATCATCAAATTTGGCATCCTCCTTAGTCAGTCTAAATTTCAGGAGTTTCGTAAATTAATAATAGCTTCATAAAATTATTTTCTACTTGAACATGCAATAAAATGATGATAAAAAGGACTGTTTAAAACAACAGCTGGTTTTAGTGGGGCTATCTAATAAATAAATAAGTAAAAGTAGTAACGCATATGATATAATTACCCAGAATTCTTTCTAGCTTGCATAACAGCTAGGTGATATGTTTAACTGGATAAAATTTAGATAAAGGTTTTTACCATTTTGCATTTTTTATTCATATTAACTATAAAATAAGGCACAAAGCTAATAAGTAATAATAAATGAATAAAAACATGTATAATTATATAACATCAGCCAAAAAACTGTGCAGTAATTTGCAAACAAATAAAAAGAAATAGAAATATTTATGTATTATTTACAGTATGTATCTGATTTAAAATGTCTCTGAGCTGTACATTTAATGTATGGTTCTTTCTTTTCAAATTTTTTATTGAAAGCATTGTATTTATTAATTTATTTTGAAAGTCTTGCAATTTTTTTTTCCTCATCTGATTTTTTTCTTTTCACTTTACTAGATTTTTCTATAGATATTCTCAGGGAAGTGGAATTATGACATTTTTATTGTCTCTGTTATGATCCAGATTTTCTGTATTTAAAAACCAAAGAATAAAATCTGCAGAAACCCCCATAAATCAATGCTGTTTTTGGATTTAAGAGATAATTTTCTATTGTTTTGATTCATGGACACACTCACATATATATACAGTACAAAGTCCAAGATCTGGACTTGTCGAGACTTCAGTGATTCGGATTTGGGATTTTTCCAGATATTAGGCTATCAGTTTGTCTTGTAAGATGACACGTTGAAGTTATAAAATTATATATATAAAATAGGTCTTTATGAAATAATGGAATATTTTTATGACCTTAAAGGAATCAAAATTACCAAAAAAAAAAAAAAAAAAAAGCTGTGTATTTGTTTGCTTTAGTCGACATATCTTTCAATGTAAATTTTTTAAGGACCTTCGTTTTTTGTACTGATACTTTCTCCTCTATCTATTGATAGACATAATCTCTTTTTCAATTACAAAGTTCCATTGTTCAATTACTGTAACTGCTATGTTAAGAATTCCCATTTAATTGTCAGTTGAGATTTTTTTGTTTGTTTTGTTTTTGTTCATAACAACCTCTGTTAATTTTTGCACCATTGGTAGTGACATTTTCTGGATTAAGAACCACACTATTGATTTTGCTGTCTGTTAAGTGATTGGGGCATTATCATCACAATGAGAAACATGTCTTAATTTATTATCACTTCTCCACATTTCATCACAAATTCAAGTAATTGGAAAATTTCATTTATTTTGTTTGTGACATCTGAAAAATTTCAAATTCATGACTTTCATCATAAATCTTAGCTAGTATCTTAGCTTGTACACTATTGGATATGTATCATGAGATTGGTGACTAAAGACATGTTCTGCTAAATTTGTGTCTTGTTTCTATCATATACTGATGAAGTTCATCCTAAATTATATTAGTTATTTATTGTACTTATGCATATTTCTCATTCATACTGAAGAATTATCAGAGTTATGAATAAATAAATTCCCGCAGCTTGCTGCAGTCTTGTTGCTTTACAGCACACTTCATTGAAGTCTGTAATCATCACCAAGTGTAATGTCTACATAAAAGTTTACCATGCTCTTTGGTAGTCAATTACTAATATTTAAAAAAGAAAAAAAAAAATTTAAGCATTGCTGCATGAGTCATTTTTCAAGCTGCCTCACTGATTTGCGAGGTTAGTGTCAAGCATATGTTTCACTTTGAGATATATGCCTAGCAAAAAGGCAACTGTGGAGCCAAAATATTGATCTTGCAGATTTATGCTAATAAATAATTGTTTCTTCAATATGAAGGTATGTCATTTAGTTCCGAAATGAAATTAAGAATTTGGATTCTCCACATGTTTTTTGAAAAATTTTAAATATTCTTGCCCAAATTGTGTTAATGGTGGTGATCCGGAGGTCCAGATTTCAGATCATTCCTGATATCGGAGGCCTGAATTTCAGACTTTGTACTGTAAGTAGTTTATTCATAAAATGATAAGCTGCTTTTTTTGGTGGCCTCTTTAATTTTATTGATTTGGCCAAAGTATATTTAAAAAGGATTTCTGAGTTTGATTTAATTAAAGATTTTGTAACACATAATGAATTGCTAAGACAAATTAAATAAACTGATGTATGATATCTAAATTTTGTATTTTCTGTTTACAGCTTCATCGTATTGAATATGTGCATTCCAAACATTTGATTTATAGAGACGTGAAGCCAGAAAACTTTTTGATTGGAAGACAGTCTACTAAAAAGCATAATATAATTCATATCATAGATTTTGGTTTAGCAAAAGAGTATATAGATCCTGAAACAAATAAACATATACCATATAGAGAGCATAAGAGCCTAACTGGCACTGCTAGGTATATGAGCATCAACACTCATTTAGGTAAAGGTGAGTAAGAATTTTGTGCATATAAAATTATGCAAATGATTTTTCTAAAGCATGTAAGTCATAGGAAAGTCATAAAAATTTGTGGAAATATGCATTAAAAATGTTTTCTTTGCTGTAAATGTAATGTAAATAATTTTATTATGCCAGGATCAATTTTTGATATTTTTGTCTTATTTATATTTATAAATTCTTAGCAGGAGGGTTGTTGTCTGATAGATTACTTGCATAATTGATCTTGAGTGTTTAATAATATCTATGAAGATTGTGTCAGTTCGTCCAGTCCTTGACATATTCAAGCTAAATATGTGGTCTTTGTAATCTAAATTACATAAGGTTGTATGATTTTATCATAAGTTGTTTAAAAACAACTCTACCAAAATTTGGACTATCCGAACTTATTTACTTTACTGAAAGAAGTTTTTCCGATTTCAGAAAATGGAGTTGTAGCATCATTACAGTTCATGATGAGCTCTTGTTGGAAGTATGCAAGGAATAGATCTGCTATTTATTCATGAACTGATTCTCTTTACTGAGTGAGCAAATGCCTGATTCATGAAAAAAAGCAGAGCTCTTTTTGGAAGCGCTCTGGAAAAGTTTAATTCCTATTTTAGGGAAGAAAAAAAGTGTTTAATCCTCCCATGTTAACAGTTGAGTTTAATTTTTACCATTACCTAACTTTTTAAAAAAATTTTATTGCAGAATTTTAGTGTTAGTTCTGTCTAGAAAGGAAGGCTTAAAACTGCAATTAAAAGGAATCAGTTCATAGAGTTTATTTGATTGAGTTGATTGTTCTAATGCTCTTCACTCTAGTCTTGCTTTTTCATTACTTGTTCAATTCTTTCTGCCCTTCGCTTCATCTTTGCTAGCCACTTTTGATTCAACCCTTATTTCAGATCTTTTTCATCAAGGTAATGATGAGTCGTAAAAAAGAACCAATTCATTTCAGTGAGTGAATGGTTCTGATTTGATCCCATAAAAGAGTGGTTTTCTTCATCTAGACTTTATCGCCAAAAAATGTATGAAAGTTTTTAAATCTAACAAACTCGTAGGTGGCTGTTTGCAATTTTCTGTGATCTTTTGGATGCTTCTATTATTAAGATAAATATATAACATCGGTGTTAAAAAAATTCAATTCAAGGATTATAAAAAAAAAAAGTAATTTTATTAAACTAGCTAGAAAATTTGTAGAAGAACATAGAAAAAGGCAAATGATGAATATGGACACAGTTTATGGTATTCAAGCTTATGGAATAATATGGGTTGAATGCTTGATCTTTCAGAAACATAGGAAGGGAATAGAGATGCTTTTGTGTTGGAAAATCATTAAACTGTATCATTAATGTTCTAGAAAAGAAGAAACATTGACAAAATAATTTAGGCATGCATTGCCAAATGCTTACAATGGAGGGGGGGGAAGAAAATATTGAATTTATAATATATAAGCATGTATAGTGTAACCTTAATTCTAAAACTAGGTATTATAAACTCAGTTTTTAAATTTATTTTTCACTTATAAAAATTGTACTCGACTAAGCAGTGTTATTGATTAAGCAAACTCTCATTGTCAGTATTAAGTTTTTTACATATTGCTGCTTTTGAAAGTGAAGTAGAAGTTAAAAAAATGTTTTTTCCCTTGCTTAAATTATAGAAGATTAAAATAAATTTTTTTGAGAATGCTTCGCATTATCTGTTTGAATGCATTATCTGTTCCTTCTAAGTATTTAAGATCTGAATACAAGTTTCTGTGTTTAGAAAGAATGTTAAAAATTGCTGCATTGAATAAATGTATGCAGTATGTTTTGCTATATATAATGTATGTTATCAAGTTGAGCTTCTGCTTATATATTCTGTGTAACAGACATTTCAGATAAAATTGTTACAGTTAATGGTATTAATTTAACATGTTTTTCACTATTATTTTATGAGTATGCAGATTTCTGGTTTTATTATTTTTCAGAGCAAAGTCGTAGAGATGATTTAGAAGCTTTAGGACACATGTTTATGTACTTTTTGAGAGGTAGTTTGCCTTGGCAAGGTCTTAAAGCAGATACTTTAAAAGAAAGGTACCAAAAAATAGGTGACACAAAAAGAGCAACCCCTATTGAAGTTTTATGTGAAGGTTATCCAGGTACAATAATATTTTATTTCGATGCTTTAGAGCAGATTTCAACTTCCTGTAATATTCTGCATTAAATTTTAATTTTTAAATGTTTTTGTGTGATTTTGCCATTTACAATTTCAGGATCTGCTAAGTTTTATATTATAAGAATTGTTATTTAATATTCTGAATTGAAAAAGAAGTGCATTTAATTGTATTTATAGTCAGGTGTTTGATACTATTTTAATGTCAAAAATTGATATTAAAATATACTTAATATTTTAAATTGTATCTTACTGAGAACAGGAGCTTGAATTTGCTGCATCTTAGTACAGATGTATTCCAGAAAAATTACTCATTTCTGTGGTGAAACTGGTTTGATATCTTTTTTTTAATTGCATCAGTTTTTTTTTAATTAGGAGCTTATTAAATTTTATATTGTTAAAAAAGGTAAGAAAAGGGAGAAATTCTTTAATACATTGAAAAGAATAAATATGAGCAAATTTTGCACTGTACAATGTCTCAGGCATGTGATTGCTTTGTGGCATGTTAATATTTTGTGTTATACTAAATGATTTTTATCTTTAAATTTATATCAAGTTTACAGATTGATTTAGAATGAGAAATACAAAAAAGAACTAATAATAATATTACTGTATTAACCTTTGTTATCTTATCTCTTTTTGCATTTACTTCACTTGATCACTGTTGTTAATAAAGCTGTTCCTTTCTCCACCCCTTTTGAAAGGACTTCTATATGTTTTTCAGTTCCATTAACTTAGCAAAAGGTATTACAGTAAAAAGTCGTTAATCCGGACTTGTCAGGACTTCAGCGATTCCGGATTATCAATTTTTCCGGATTATAGATCATCAGTTTAAATCTGGTAAGATGGCATGCAGAAATAATAAAATTAAAAATATGAAACCGTAATTTATGAAATAAAGAACAATTATGATCTAAAGTATATCAAAATTTACAAAAAAAAAAAAAAAAAAAAAAAAAAAAAAAAAAAAAGCTTAATATTTATTTGCTTCCTTTATTAAACATTTTTCAATGTAAGTTGTTTAAGTTGCTTTGTTTTATGTGATAATACTTTCTCTTTAATTCTATAAACAGACATAATTTCTTGTTCGGTTACAAAGTTCCGCTTTTCAAGTCCTATAATTGCTGTGTCGAGAATACTGACTAATTTGTCAATCGAAATTTTTTCATTTTCAATAACCTCTGTTTCACTTTCTTCACTATCGGAAACGAATTATAATGATGAGGAATTTGATTTAAATCATATCAAAGACGGAGTACATCGAGATGAAATACTACATTTAGTAAGGAATTATAAGTCAAATAAAATAAAAACATGTGCCCTTAAGATAAGCATAGTGCTGACAGATCAACTTCCAATTCATTGCGCGCTGTGGCGTCCCCCCCCCTGCTGCCGCAGAGCAGCGTGAAATTGATAAACAGATTTTGGAATGGTTAGAGAAATATGCCTTTATCCATTTTTTTGCAGCAATTCCACTTTTTGTTTGATGGACATCGAAATATACTTTCGCTTTGTTTCAACTCGTTGGCAGAAAATCATAGATTTGGGTAGTGATTAGTACCCACACTAAGGGTGAAAGCACTTTTGGGCAGAAAACTTTCGCTACAACCAGATACACGAAAAGACAATTATGTCTAGAATTAAAATTTGAATTTTTTATAAGAAAACATTAAGTGAAATAAAGTAGTAATATACATTGAATAACAAAAGTGATATTTATTCTGCAAAAAATAGAATGATTTTTAAACTTTTAACTGTGCTTCACTCTATCTCCAAGAAATTAGATATGCACTGCTTTGTTATTATAAAATAGTAGGACTGCTGTTTGTGTTTTAGTACTATTATTTTTTTTTTATTTAAAATTTAGTGTGCCCTTTGTACTATTTCTATTTTTTAACAACATTTGTATTCACTTTTCTTTCTGTTTTCCTTTTATAATAATTTTCTGCATGAAATTCATGCTGAAAATAAAATAAGCTGTTCCATACTATTACTATAATTTTATGCTAATACTGTATGCAGTGGCAATTACCGCTGCATGTTGCTAATTGTAAACATCAATTGCTAATTGTAAACTGCATTATAAAACTAATTGTAAACAATTAGTAGCATACAGTGGGTGCATTTTCTTTTAATTGATTTAATGTTAATTTATGTATTGGGTCTACAGAATTTACTCTTTTGTTGTTTTGTCCATAAAATTTTAATTATTTATTTGATTGCAGGCCAGGAAACATTAGAATTGTATTCTAGATTGTATTGTTACTCTGCTTGAAATTATATCGTTTATTTATTTATTTATTTATTTATTAAAGTTAGACATTCTGTGGAACTGCTATTTTATCTTACACTTAACAGGAAAACAAATGTTTAAACATAATCACAAAATATTGGTATATATGGAAACAACAAACTATTTAGCATTCCAAAGAGTAATTAAATCTGTTTCAAGTTTTTTGCAGTAAATGTTTAAAAATATATAGGAACAAAAGTGGTGAAAATAGAAGCAGTGCAAAAATGAAAATTTTGTTCTTGGATGTTCTTTTTTCACTGGTGTTACTAGTAGCTTGACTAAATAAATAACAATTTTGTGTGCGTGATAATACCAAAACAGACTACTTTTATTTTTATTTGTTTAAAGTCTAAAATGAATATGAATTTTTGTTGCTGTTGTTTTGTTGTCCTTATAAAGCATGCTGTAAATTATTGTGTAAAAAGGAATAATTCACAGATTGCAGTTGAAAAGTTGCCGCCCATAGGTATTCCCTGTATTTGTTGTTTTGCCCATAGGTATTCCCTGTTTTTGTAAGATGTTGTTATTAAATTGAATATGATTATTGAAAAGAACGCTTAAAAGAAAAAGTTGCCATTTTTCAGCATTTAGTATTGTAGAAATTTAGAGAAACAATTTTGGAAGAGTAAGTAAACTGCTATAAATCTCTTCAAGTGGTAAAGTAGTATAGAAGTTCTCAAAATCGTAGCATTGGATATGTTCTATTTTAATTTAAGGTTTTAAGAATTTGTTTGTTGCTTGATATCATCCAGTTGCAATGTTGATCTTTAAAATCAGAATTATTGATGACGTCTCGAATGAGATGAAGTTTTTGTGCAAAGAGGTAATCTATCTCCTTTAAATAACTTCTGGTACTATTGGCTATGAATATAAACTTAACAGGAGTCTTATGAAATTTTGGAAGTCCATAAAGATTGACAAACCTGTTACTATATTTGCAAGGACGGATTTTAAGTTTTTTATGAATTGCATTAAATTTATTGAAAAGTATCTTAGAGCTGGTAGAGATTTTTTTATAGGTGCAAGTGCTAAGCACCGTTAGCTTGAACCATTAGCTTTTTCCTCGCGGTCGTTCGGCATTTCAACTTTGGTTGGAGTAGGTTGTGTTTAAAATAGCTGCGCGGATTTAAAATCCTGCCAAATGTGAAGTGCACTCCATCATACATTTTCTTCATGCAAAAGGTCAGCAACCAGCAGATATTCACAAAGAAATTGTTTCTGTTTATGGGAACATTATGAATCAACAGAATGTTACGAAATGATGTCATTTCTCTGAAGGTAGGACCGATGTTCATGACGAACAAAGAACAAGTCGGCCATCTGTGATCTCTGATGCCCTTCTTCAGAGAACAGAGGAAGCAGTTCGTGCGAATAGACGTCTCAAATTGAAAGAATTGCATCAGATCATACCGGAAGTGTCAATGACAACTCTTTATGAAGTTGTGACTGTCAAGTTAGGGTACAGGAAATTGTGTGCGCGCTGGGTTCCAACAGGTGGCATCTATGACTGTATGATACAAAAGCTTGTGCACCGACTTAACAAATGTTTGGGATAACGGGGGTGATTATGTCGAAAAGTAATAAATAATCCAGTTAATAAGATGTAACTGACGTTTTTAAATTTTTTTTTTTTTTTCTAAGGAATGCAAGCCATTGTATCTTTACTTTTCAAAATGCCCTCGTATGCTGGTGAAATGGATCTACAAATTTATTGTAAACAGGAAGCTTGCAATTCCATATGCTATCATCTATTACATTGTGATGGTTAATTATCAGTTGACCTATAATCTTTTCAAATTTAAAACAGAGTTTAACCTGAAGTTGTTGGTCAGGGAGCAATTGTTGACATTTTTTGAACATGCATGGAATTTTTAACTGATCATAATAAGGGTGCTTGAATTGTACAGTACAAAATATTTTTTTGTGATAAAAATTACTATTCTTTTAATTTAAAATTGCTGAAGTCTATTATTAGATCTTTGACTATTTGGTAACATTGAGATTGTTGATTAAGTCTTTTAATAAGATTCCATAAGGTGACATTTTTAAAAGTATGCAGAAGTTTAATGGCTTTACAAAAGTTTAAAAGTTTTTGCAAAAGATTTATTTCCAAAGAAGGAATTTAGATTTTTAATAATTTAATTCCAGATCTTACATCTAGTATTTATAGTAAAAGAAAGTATATATATATGTGTGTGTGTACATTTTAGATCTCAATGTTTCTTTAATTAAATAGCTCCACGAATCCCTGTTAGGCCTCTAGATGGCGGTACAAGAATTTCGACTAGTGATATATGTACATCTAGAAATATGTCCAAGAAATTAAGGCAATATGTTTAACCCTTTGAATACAAATTAAAAAAATTACCCTGTTTTCTATCCAAGTGAACAAAATATGTCATAAATAAAGTAAATTTAGCATTTGGAATCATTCTGACAAACACTTTTCAAGCCAAAGGCTGGGACACGTAGGACCCAGCCATAGTTAATGGTGAGATGCATATTGGTGTGTTTTTCTTTCTTCTGACACCAGCTATTACGTTATTTTCTTCCTTTACGTTCGTACGGGGTTTGTAGATTTGAAGTGAATGACGACAACACTTGATGAAGTATCGAAACACTTTATTTAGCCAATATTAACCAGGACAGCTCCAAAGTCACTTTTTACAGTCGTCGAATTCTTATAAACAAGTTGACACGTTCAGCGACACAGCTTTCACACTGTCTGGCAATAACGGTGGAGACAGCTTCACTGCGAAGCACCAGAGTACAGTTCTTGACTCTACTCGGTTGTTCTCGGAACTCCACGTACTCTTGAGACTCTCCATGCTACAAATCGCGATGTACTCGATGACACACAGAGCACAGCTCCCGACATTTCAGTTCTGTCATTCCCGGAGCTCAACACGCTCTCTCAACGATGCACTAACCGCGATACACTACAAGACTCTTTCGGTGCACTCGACGACCCACTTGGCACTCGCTGCATGGCTGTCAACTCGATCCACTCCGCAGGGATTGACTCGCTAGACGAGACACCAACTCGATACTAACTGACTATCAGCTCGCCAGACGAGGCGCACACTCTCTCGCCCTCTTGACGAGGCACACTCACACTAACTGACTGCAGACCAGCAGGGTTTATATAGCTTTTGGCTTGTGTTCAAGAACATTCTGTGCTAAACCAGTAAGAATTCATTCCAGAAGGTTCTCCATAAGCTGCTTTGCGGGGAAGCTATCTCACTGCGCCTGTACATTTCGTAACAATATGTTGTTCCACACGTAGCCATCGACTTACTATAAGTACACCTATTATTCTGGAAAACTTTATTATATGAAGTAGATTTACATTGTATGGTACAGGGTAAAGCATTCTTACATTACACATTGGGCAACTCATTTTTGTTCTTTTCTCTATGTTCATTTATGTACAACAAACACAGCGGCATCTTGGTTTTTCAATGATTGGAAGATGATCCCCAATATTCAGGAGATACTTTGAATTTTCAGAAGTACTTTTGAACCCAGCAGTAATTTTTAAACTTTTAGTGGGACATGTATGTCCTGTTAGTAGTCAAAGGGAAGTACATAAATTCAGGTATAAAGTAGCAGGGACATTTAGGCATGAAAGTCAAGAAAATGCCTCTTTCTCATGACACTTTTGGAAAATTTTGGCTTTCTTAGCGAAACTCTGTGCCTCTCTGAGGCATTAAACGCATTTCTACCATTTAGAAAACTTAATTTTATCTTCTTCATACGTCATCGATATCCTTTGTATATAATGATCTATTCTGATTTTCAGACTGCTTTTGGTGTAGTTAAAGTATTATTTGAGTATGAATATTTCCTGAAAAGGAAAGTTATGTGTTTAATTAAAGAATGAATTCAAAGTTGGTTTAATTTTTCTTCTTCTTTAGATGAAATGTCTACTTACTTGCACTATGTAAGGAGACTTGATTTCTTTGAAACTCCTGACTATGATTATTTAAGAAAACTTTTTCAAGATCTCTTCGAGAAAAAAAAATATGTAGATGATTCCGATTTCGACTGGACAGGAAAGCAACTGGTAATTTTTTTACATAATTACATATAGAAAAGTGAAATTTATATGTGTGTATTTATATTTCCTAAGAGTTACTGATGAGATTTCTCTTTTAATTTTGAGAGTTATTAAGATTTAAAAATGCTTAGTAGTTTTACTGAGTAAAATAAGTTCGAGGTACAAGAAACAAATACGCAATTAAGTTTAGTTGTATGTGTGGATGGTTAAAACTAAAGTAAGAATTAGAATAAGATGTAATGAAGGTATAGTGTTTTCAGCACTATATGTCTTTATGTATTTAATACTTTTTAGTGTCTTTCTCATACTGCTGAGTCTTTTATTATTATTATTATTTTTACTTGGGATATTTGTCAAATTCTGCGTCTTCTGAAAACAAGGCTTGTAGAATTACTGCAAAAATTTTTTAATATTTAATGATATTACTGAATCCGACATCAAATGTTGTTTATCAAATATTTATTATGATTCAGTTGCTTATTACACATTCTGTTAGATTTATTTATATTAAGTGCTACCATTTCTTGCCTGCTTGAAATGCATAAAATTTCCAGTTAGAAGATTTATGTATTCTTGTTAGAGCTATCTATCTGAATCTGAAAACTTAAGTCTGACGGTATTATTTATTTTTCCTTTGCTAAAAATTTTGCAGTTATTCTGGGAGTTAAGTTATTTTTTCACGTGCGTATGTCTCTGAAGCATTTTTTAATTTGAGTGAAAGGAAAAAAATGTCATAGAATTACTTAAGTTTGGTTTTAATGAAAAGATATAGAACTTGGTGCAGATGCTGTGCAACATGTCTTGAGGAAGTGTTCTGAGTATATAATCATATTTCCAAATTAATGTGCATTCCAAATTTAATAAATTAGGCATTATTTTAAAGTTAACCAATAAAAAATTTAAACTTATTTTTCAGACCAATATAGCTCACTCTCTGCCTCTATAGGATCTGAATGCTGCCCATAAAAGAATTAGTATTTCCTGCTTTAAAATTTTGGACATTGAGAACAATGTGTTGCATTTTTTTAAAAAAAATATTTATTTATTTATTTATTATTTTTTATTTATTTATTTATTTTATTTTTTAATAGTTAAATGTTCTAAAATTATTATACTGTGTAATGAAGGATTACCACCTTGTAATCAAATTGCTGTTAAATTTGGCTGTTAACATTTAACAGTTGATAGATGCATTAATAACTTCAATTTAATGAGAAGTTTGCAAGATTTGCACAGAAAGGGAAGGCTACAAGTGGGTGATGCAAAATTACTAAAGTCTTATTTATTTGTCATCTAAAGATTGTTATGATAATTGTAAAAAACTAAAGCATAATTGGTCAGTAAGCTGTTCAATCAATGTTTTGAGGTGGAGTGTAAATCAGAAACTGATTGAAAATGCTTAAAAGCCCGTAAGTCTGTGCTTTAACTAATGAAAACAGAAGCTTAAGTAGTTACAATGGGCACATGATTGTGTAAAGTAGCGTGTTGATATTAAGCATAAAGTTAATGTGGAGTGATGAAACATAATCTTCTTTGACATTCCATGGAGGAGCTACATTTGTACAATGCCATCTTAATGGAAGATTTAAACCATATTGCACTGCAGCAAGAGTAAAGCCTCCTCTTGCAGTTATGACATTTATTTTTATATTAGCATATAGATTTGTTTCTTCAGTTGGATGGCGAAATCATGTTGCAGGTTCCTGTCCTATAACCTATCCTGTGTGCATTGGGTAGAAAAATTAAAACCATAACTTTGATAAATAGCATTCTTTTGATGGGGAGCATGTAGAAGATGACAAACAAATATGGCTGAAATCTTTGGATGTGAGACCTTCCTACAGTCGAGTGAATAAGCAAATGCTACACAGGTGTGGCTTCGTTTGTTGGTAGGTATAGCAGCTACTGGTCAGGTGACTTAAAGGAGTTAGATGATTATTGGAAGGTATGGTATAAGTGCAGTTAGTCTATTTATAGGCAAAGTGGAAGTGAGAAGATAATCAGAACCGTGCATTAATTAAGAATGGGTGAGCCAAAATAGGGGAGATCTTAGCATATGGAATGGGTCGGCTTCACATCATACTACAAGGAAGACTAAATGTGGTCTGATATATTTATGCGCTTGAACAATCTTTCCTTCAGCAATTATGTTTCAGAACAATTGTATACATCTTTTGGAATGCTAATATATCATGTAATTGAGCACAAAAAGTAGATGCATGGTTTTCTTGTAAATAATTTAAAAATTGCAATGGCCTGTCGAATCATCAGATCTTTATTTAATCAAGAACACAAGCAATAAAATGGAATTAACTGAAGCTGTAATTTCATGCTGGTATTTTTTACTTCAATGGAATGACCTTTGCATGTCTATCATTAGTCTTATGCCCCAGTAATGCACATTAATAATAAAAAACAAATATTTTCAAATTAAATATTATGTAAATTATTGATAATTTAGTATAACATGGAATATGTTTAATATTCCTTAATTAATGTAAAATGTTTGATATTATATTAGCTTTATGTTTTTTTCTCCCCATTTTTTCTTGCATAACATTTAGAGTAATATTGTTATTTTATATATTAAAAATCTTTTGAATTTTTTGTAAATTATCTTTAAATTGATGTATTCTTTATTAATGTTAACATTTAAATTAATATAAAAAGTGTGATTCTATGCACAAAATACATGCTTTCATGAAATATTGCAGAGCTTTTTTTATCAGGCTTTATATATGTTATATATTTCATTAATTTTTCTTAAACCATGTGAAGGCAAAAAAATTGCTCTAAAACACAATCAAGTTCTTTTGGTCTAATTTTCAAATCGACTTAAAAAAGGAAAGTTAAAATGCGATAATGTTCAAAAACAATCTTTATTATTTGAAGATAGTGGGTTCTTAGTATGCTGTATATAAGGGAAAAAAAAAAAAAAAACTGCAAATTTTGTTATTGAAGAAGTGATTACATTAGTTCTTGAAAGTTTTTCAGGTGAAAGCAAAAATACTGCACATGTCAGTGTGTCTCATGGAGAGAATAGTAGCAAATTCTATATACATATATATTTGAGTATTATTACATTTTATTTTCTTTTATTATTTATATCAAAGGAAATTATCATAAAATGATACAAGCAGAGGTATCAGAGATAAGCAGAATGTATAAAATATTTATAAAGTAAATGAGTTTCTTTTCCTTAAGATATTTATTTGTGTTGAATGCACTTTTGCACCTTTGCAAGATTTTAAAAACTTCATATTAAAAGGTATTTTCTGCCTCCTTTCTGCATGCCTTCATGGTGTAACGGTTAGCACACTCACTCGTATTTGAGAGGTCCAGGTTCAAGATCCTGCGAGGGCACTGCATATTTTTCACGTCTCTCGCTTCAAGATAACGCAATGTCTCTACAGTGTTGCCCAAACTAAAAAGGGTGGTGGATGATGATACTTCACCACCAGGATTTGGTGATTGGGTCCCCTAATCCCCCTTCATCGTTTAAAAGGGGGAGTATGTAGGGTATTTTCTTCCTCCTTTCTGCATGCTTTCGTGTTGTAATGGTTAGCACACTCGTTATGTATTCGAGAGGTCCAGATTCAAGTCCCGGTGGGGGCATTGCACATTTTTCATGTCTCCCGTTTCAAAATAACCTAATGTCTCTGCAATATTTGTTTTAAAATATGTATGAATTGTGTTAGCTGTTGCTCAGTGGCATGAATTTTGTGTAGGGGTTTGCATAAACAAATTTATAATTTTGCTGAAATGTCTTGTGTCCTATTAGAAGTAATGTTATATTAGTAATGTGTTTATTTTACAAGCATTTTATTTTGTTCATACAAATTATAATCAAAACATTGTGTTGCAACTTAATGACCAAGTATTTAGGAGACTATATCAGCATATACAGCAGTTGCATTATTTTTAAAACTCTTATTTTGTTTTTGAAATCTCTTCATTGCTTTCCAAAGTTTAAATATTAGTCTGAAAGAAAGAAATGCTTGCATGTATAAGAATCAGTTTTGCTTCATGTTTCTTTCTGTACTATTACTAATATTTGTCTTAAATGCAAATAATGTGTTTTAGTGTAATGTTTTATGTTTAATGTGCATGCTATGGTATAATTGAATTCCTGTACTTTTATTTTTTGCATGATCTGTATAATGCATATAAGTGAGGTATGCTTATTGTGTTCTTTTTTCAACCCTACTTTAATAACTTAAAGCTATCTCTGGTGTTTGCATTAATATTACTTTCTTGTGTGCATGTTTGGACTATATTTTGATCTTTTTTTCTGGCTGTTCTTCCTTCTTTGTGAAGCCTCAAAGCTTTCTTCAACTGCAACAGTTACGTAATGCTCCACCATCTGATCGTACCAGATCAGGGAAGGTTGGTATGCTGAATGATAGAAATTAAAATATTTTTTAATAGAGCCCTTTCTATTTATGTGGTAAAGTTAAAAATCTTAGAAATCTGTATTCGATATCATTATATCAAATGTGTTTTGTTTTTGGAATTTAAATAAAGTATTGCATCCTGTGAGATGAACGTATAAAATTTCCATTATTGTGGGAAAGCATAGCAACTTTCTTTTAAACAGTTTTCATATAATTTCAGTATAATAAAGTACTACAGTATATCTTTATAAAAAAAGTAGAAATGTATCCCACGTAGCAATCAGATTAAGGCAAAGGCTACTAGAAAAACTAGTTTAAGTATAACATTTCAAATGCTTTGTGTATTTGGATTTTGTTGATAATAGGGTAAATACAAATAATTGTATGAAATTGGAATTAGAGTTTGATACAAAGGGCATGTTTAAAATTTTACAAATATGTACAATAATTTACAAAATTTACAATATTGAATTAGGAAAACTATTTATATGCAGATTAACTAACAAGGGAGAACAAAAAAGTAATGCTGAAAGTGATCAGTTATCTCTAAAATAAAAACTTGCTTTGTTATTATCTTCAGCAGAAAGATTGCTATCAGTTAATTTTTTTACCTAGTGGAATATTTTCATTTGAAAGCATATAAAAAGAAAAAGCATTTGTGCATGTTTTCTAAATTGCTTAGTTAGTAAATTACTTTCAGGTTTAATTAGAATGTTTTTTATTTAATTAAAACATGTCTTATACTAATTGTTATAACTAATGATGTTTTTAAATTTAATAATTGTATTTAATTGCAAATAGCTACACAGATAGAATTTGATTGAGGTTTGTAGTTTGGTAAAATGAAAGTCTGGACATTTTTTTTTTTTTAGAGCATGTGGATATTCACATACATAATGTAACCCACCTGTTCACATGCCTAAAGAATCACTGAATTTATAAAACATATTTTGTCGGTTTTTCAAAGTTGCTGAAATGTAAGAAGTTCCATATGCTAACTAAATTAAAGTTTGTATTGAACAGCCTGAAGATCTTAGGCGAATAAATCAGTTAAACTTTTGTATTTTCAAATTGTTATTTAAAAGGAAATTTTTTAATTATTTACTGCATTTGCATTAATGACAGAAAAGAAAAGACAAAATATAAAACTTCCTATGATTTCATAGATATTTTCATGATATTAAGTAAGCACTCATTGTGGATGTATAAACTATACAGATTGCATTTTCTCACTTTAGTGCAAAATATGTTTTATTTTTATTGGTTTTTGCTTTTTTTATGAACTAGGAAAAGCCTTTGCTATTTTCAGTTCCTTCCTTTTTCTCTTTTTTTTTCTTTGCTAACAATTTACATTAAATATTTTCTCTCCTATTCTTAGAGAATTTCATTCTGTAGGCATAATGCTCTTTAGGAAATTTCTTTTGTTTAAAGTTTCCTTCTCTGTACCTTTTAATTTAAGCAAATTAACATCCACATAAAGGCAAGAAAATTTTATTGCAGTAACTAATGGTAGAGATAGGCAAGTATCTGTATATATTACTGGCTAGTAATTTATTTATCATTTTAGAATTTATGTTCAAAGTCCTTGTAATGTTTTGTGTGAAATCATGTAGGTAAACAAAAGGATTCAAAGACCTCCAGTATGTCTGTTTTCTCATTTCTTTTTCTTAGCTTTCCTTAAATTGGACCAGTTATCAAAATTTTTGTTTCCAAGTTTAGCTAGAAATATTTTTCATAAATAAATCTACAACAACAACATGTGTTTCATCTGTAGAGTTTTGTGAAACTGTGATTTTTATTTTATTTTTTTAATGAAAGCTAGATGATAAAATTTTGTAAATTTAAATTTTAACAAGATCATATCATTCATGTTAAAAAAAGATATTTAGTTCATTTTTATCCTTTTTACTTCCTTGTACGAAGTAAAAAGGAAGTATTGTAATCGCAAAAAGTCTCAGGCAGCATATTTCAATGAAAATATCCATTTTGACTGCTATCGAATGCAAGTTAATGATGTTTTTGTGTGATATCTGTACGTAAGGACAGAATAAAATACTCTTTTCCTTCAAAAAAATTATAAAACTGCTTTAAAATTAATTCTGAAGAGAATTTTTCGTGGCGTCTGTACAAACGTATGTACGTACGTACGTATCTCGCATAACTCAAAAACGAGTAGCCTCAGAACGTTGAAATTTTGTATATAGGACTGCTATAACATGTAGATGTGCACCTCGTATTGTGGTTGCAATCGGCCCCGCACCAAACGTATATAAATATATTTATATATATATCCACTCTATTACCCGGCTCAGTGATCTCAGTTTCTCTTTACTCTTATATGTTTGTAAATTGTACATTTTTTTGCTTTAAAAATGATTGAATTATGTTGTTTTTATCTTCTGGTTAAGGATTTTATGCCTTTAGTAAATCTGTGTGCAATATTTTTAGAATTATCAGCAATTTTAAAGTTGTTTAATTGCCACTAAGCCTGTTTTTAATGGCGGCCATTGGTGTTTACATTTGAAACAGGAGACTAGTGGATTTGTTGCCAATCTAAAAAAACTTAGCTTCACAACAACAAAGATAACACATTCATTTATTATTGCCAATTAAATCATGCTTAATTCTTTCTGGAATTTTTTCAAGGAAATAAGCGTTTGAGATTTACTTCGTAATTTTTAATATAGATATTTTGAGTTTTTATGTATTTTTGCCTTCTTGCATTTAATTAATTAAATGAGAAATACTCATTCATCTGTGAAAAACTGTTTCTGTTTTGTTTGCTTAATTCCTTTTATACATGGTTCGAGCTTTATTGTAGTATTTGAATAGAACATGTGGTAATGATTAGATAATTCTTTAAATGATATACATTTTGTGCATTCTGAGTTATAATATGAATGAAATATAATACTGTTAAGTAAACCTAGCGCCAGAGTGTAGCTATGGTAAACAAAGTGAATTTTAGAATGCATTTATTCTATTGTGGTTTATGCGCTGTCGGCGAAGTAGGTTTAATTCAATCTAATAAGTTTAAACAAAATGCAAGAAAAAATGCGTATAATTTAATATTCCGTACAAGGAAGTCATGTGGTGTACACATCAGATTTTTTATGTTTAGTTATTGCTTAATTCATTTCTCATAATGGAACAGCTCATAAATTTTACATCATATTTTAAAATTTTCATTTAAATATTAATTTTCTGTTGTCAGCTAATAATTCTTGATTGTCAGTTAAAAAAAAATATTATGAAACATGTTGACCTTAATATGATTATTTGTAACAATCTTTGTAATTAAACTAATATATGTATAAATAAGTGTTATAAAAGATGGTATATTTCAGATTTCTGTAGGGTTTATAGTTTAACATTATTCTTATTAAAAATGCAATGCCCTTTATGATGACAACAGGATGTGTTCTTAATAATTTTATGTTTCTTTATTATTAATAATTGAAGAAAATCATATAATGAACCTTTTGAGAGATGCTGTTTTTAGCACAGTGTAAAACTTTTGCTTATGCAATTATGTTTTTCAAAGTAAAGGATTAATTTGTTTTAATTACTTAACAAAACATTTTTAAATGTCCGTATAGATATATGAAAGAGGAATATAATTGTAGAAGAGATTAAAAAAAATTAGTTTATAAATAAAAATTTTAAATTTATAAGTAGAAATTTTCTTCTGCAAGTGAACTTAAAACTATATTTTTGTTGTAGGTATGATTGTATAGGAAAATGTCACATGTTGTTATGCTTTTATAATGTGTGTACTTTCGTACTATACTTTTCATACTTCATTGCTTTTGTTCTTATTTTGTAAATAAAATTTATATTTAAGAAATAAAGTGATTAATTAATGTTGTATGTGTATTAATATAAAAACAATGTCAACTAATTTATAAATAAACTTGTTAAGTAATGAAACTTCATTTTATATTAGAATGCATAGCTTTTTTTATGTTGTAAGAAAATGCGTACAGATATATAATTATTTAAGGTGAAATGATCGTTGCATTATGATAATCGTTGTATTGTGATAGTGAGCGTAAAATTTATGTCCATTGTTTAAAGGTATTTTGGTTTTGATAGTTATTTGCAAATTAGTTTAAATTTTTATTTCCAATATTATTCAACATAGAAAAAATACTCTCTATTTTGGGGTATATGTGGAATAACTTTTATTGCCATTCCCTGAAGTCTACATTTATGCTGTTATCATTTGTCTTTCTTAAAAGAATTCTGTTGTGTTTGTAGCTTGTAGCTATGAAATTTTATATCCGAAAATACAGAAGGGAGACTATTTTTGTTGTTGTTTTAAGAAAGAAGACTGTTAACAGAATTCTCTTAGATATCATTTGGAATCTTTTACAGTACCGTTCCAATTTTTTTTAGAATTTTTGCAGATATACTATAATTTGTCTAAATACCTGGAAAACGGGGAAAAGAATCTTGTTTCCTATGTTGCTTTTAATTTTTCTTATAACTCTGGTCTTAATATGCTAAGGCATTAATATTCTTCCACAAGCATGTGCTGTTTATCTATCTAACTGTGCCTTTACATTTAGTAAATGAACTGTTTATGAATCTGAAATAGTAAAGTTTACTGACTACAGTGATGGATCTGCTTATATATCTGGAAATATGTCTTGGACTAATAAACTGTAGTTAATCAGCAAGCACTAAGTGGTTTGATAATCATTGGTTTCTGTCTTCAGCATTTTATGTTTTCTACTTTTATTTCATCATGTCTTATTGTGAGTCTCATAGAGTCGTCTTGATTTATCTGCTTTAAATGTAAGGATAAATTTTGTTAAAATTTTTTCTTTGGAACCTTTCAGGAATATTATCATTATATTAGGCTAAGTGAAAGGCTAGGCTATCCCCAGCCTTAATTATGTAATTGCATTTTTTTTTTTTTTTTTTTTTTTTTTTGTTTCTTTTTATTTTACTATACGTAATATGGCTTGATAAAAAGTGATGCCTTATGATAGGATAAATTATTAAGAGCATTAAAATATTTGTCTTTTTTCTGGCATTTGTTTTCCCTAGAGAAACTGTTTAATTTAAAACTTTCTGTATTTAATCAATATTTATATACTTAAATATTTGATGAAGAATTTTTAATCCTTCTTACTGATAATAAAATTATTTATCATATTAATTTTTTATTAGTGTCTATTTTCTTTTCTCACATTTTGTTTCATTTTCACATTCCTTTTTCATTTTAATTATTATTTAATTAGATTTATCTTTTAAATACTATTTTTTAAAATATATATTTTTGTCTGGCGCTTTTGTTTCCCTGACGTTTTTCATCTAGGCAAAAAGTGTGCTCTTTGAGTTGAGTGGGCATGATTGAATTCTGAAATTATTATTACTCATTAATTTTAAAATTTCCAAGCATGTATGAAAGCACTGCATACTTTTCTGGACAGTTTGTTGTCCTTAATAACTGTATGCTGAAAAGAAAAAAAAAAGAAACAAATATATAATAAACAAAATATAACTTACCTATTAGCTCTAATGCTCTTTTTATTGTATTGTACGTATTATTAAAATTTGTTCCCTATTTCTTATCTGGGCAGTGTATATAAAATTTAATTTTTTAAACACAAAATCTAAACTTTGGACTGATTTGTCCGTTTTCATTAGTCCACCCCTGTAGGTTCAATGCAGACTGCCCAGGAAGTCATAGTGTCACCTAACCGAGAGAGGCATGTTGCTTCTGATACTAGGGTGAGTTGGTTCTTTGCATGTAATCTTTTTAACTGAACTACTGTGGTCTTTTCTACTTTCCTTTTTTACGTTTCTCCCATCTAGGGTCTTTATTTATGTGCTTTGATTCTTCTCTGCTGCATTCCTTTAGAAACTGTTCTTTCCTTTTTTTCTGATAATCTGTGATGCCTGTAAACATGACAAGTAGTATATTCTCCCTTGTTCAATGGCATGTGGTTGTCAGATATAATTTTAGCCCTTGTATGATGGTTTTATGTATATCTAGTATCTGATGTTGTCTGAATCACAGTACTATTTCTTAGAATATATAGTTGTCATCAATTTTGTTATAAAAGACATTATACGACAACTCATCAGTTATATAACCTATGTTTGTACTTTTAGGAAAAAATATTATTATTTTTAAGACTTGATGATTTCTTATATACATATGGTGCTTAAAAATGTTATCATTTTTAGTGTTTTGATTTATATAAATGTATTCATTTGAATAAGTAATCTTGACTTATTCTATATAGAGTAGCAAATATGTTGGAAAAATTTCTTTGTATAGCTTTTTCTCCCTTATTATGCTACTTATGATATAGGCAAAGCAGCTGATTAAATATTAATTTAAATATAGAGACATTGTACTTTAGGCCTTTTTTAATTAAAGTTACATATAAAACTGGCAAATGCCAATTGAAAAAATTAAAGCAAGTTAACAGTTTTCATTGCCATGATTATATGCTGAATATGATGGTCTGTTTAAGAAGCTAACTATGGCTGCTGTTCTTTTCAATAACACACTGCTATTCATAGATGATGAAGTTAAACTAATATTTAAAGAAAAGGAATTTAGTTGAAAGCAGAATACTGTTAAGTATAATACTTTTAATTTTATTTTGCAGTTAATTCAGTATTTGTGAGTAATTCTTTACTTTTTATGATGATGATGGAAAATATTTTAGATAAAAAGCCTAGAATGTTAAAATTGAAATAAAAAAAAAAAGAATAAGAAGAAAGAATAGAATATGCATTGTGTTGTATTAAATGGAATTAAAAAAAAAAAAGGTAGAGCAATGAGCAGTAATAAGTAATTTTACTATACGTAATGAAATTTCATGTAGTTTTAAAAGCCCTGTGTTCATGATCTATGCAAAAAATATAAAAACTGAGGATTTAAAATTTTTTTTATTATTATTTATTCAAAAGCATATATATGTAAAGTTTTTTGTTTTTGTTTTTTTGAGTGATTTTACTCATATGCATTAAAGAAAAAGAAACATGTCAATTTCAGGTTTGAAACTGGGCAAAATATAACTGTAAATTGAAATTATTATTATTTATAGAAATACTATGCATTTCCAAGAGAATCTAAAACAAAGGTCTTCATGCAGCAAAATTCGTCTGAACTCTTGTGCCACGTTTATGGCTTAAATAAATAAAGTTAAGAGTAGCAGTTGTAGCAAGAGTCATTGAGCAAGACTAAATAAAATAAATAAAAAGAGCCCTTCTTAAAAAATAAATAAAAATTGAGAAGCAAGGCTTTAAATTAAAAAGAAAGTTCAGGAAATCAAATTTATGTTCAGACATTTTGAAAGCAGATAAACCGAGTGGGCTCTACTGCAGTTAAAAATTAAGTTTATATTTTGTATTATTTGGAACACTTTTCGTTCTCTTGGTATTTTTTTTTTTTCTTTTGCAGTTCAAGAGTTTCTGCCCTTTTGTTACTGATAAAATTCAATATTCTTTCATTAAAAATATTCTGAATAATTATATTGTAGTACCTCTTCTTTGCTATTTACAAAAATGTTCCAAATTATGTGTAAACCCACCTTTATTTTTTTAACCTTCCCCTTATTAAAATTAATGGGCATACTTAAGCATATCTTTACAGATTTTAATTTGTGTAGAATTTAAAACAATCTTTGTAAGTGGTTTAATGTACTTTCATAAAAATAAGAGAGTTTTAAAACTTTGAATTAGAAAACATCAAAATAAGAATGAGTAATAAATTTTTGTTATTTATGATTAGTTCCTTAACAGTTGTTTTAAATTTTCTTCTTTTGTGTTTGCTGATTTTGTTGAACAAATAGTCTGAAATTGATGTATTCACATTTTTATTTCATTTGCATAAGGAATGAAATTTAGTTTTGAGTTGTACAGAATAATTTTTGCCCCTTAAAGTTAGAGCTGTATCACATTCTTTTAAAAAGGCACTGAGTGTTTCTGTACAATTTCAATCTAAATGCCTTTTGTTTATGCTAGCCTAAATTGAAATTTGTTTGTTGTAATATTTTTCTGAAATCTGAAGTTTATGTCACACAGGGAAATTATTTGTGAAACCATTAGAATTTTGCTTTCAACTGTGTCTGTTAGTTTGATCTTAAAAATTAAAGTAACGAAGTAGATCACAGAAATCATAAAATGGTAATATAACTCAAATCTACATTGAACTATACTCTCTGCTTATGAAGAGTTTGAGGGTATTGGTATTTGTTGATTTTTAATTTTGCTGATTGAGAATGTGGCAAAACTGTAAATGAGAAAATTTTCTGATGTAATTTTAATTTTAATATTTGCTGCTTTTATTTACAGAACAAAAGGCCTCGGCAGTTTGGTTCAGTTCTTATTGTCGATCATTCAAAGCCACCTGAGATGAATGTAATAAGTAGCAATTTGGCTCCAAATGATCGTCATGATTCCGTCCAAGTCGTCAGCTCCACTTACAGTGAATTAGCACCCGACAACCCAACTACTGGGCACTCTAATACACCTATTGCAATACCAGCAGAAGTAGAAGTTGTGTCAGAAACAAAGTAAGTTTAGTGATTTTTATTTTAATGTGCTTTAGAAGTTACACTGTTCATGATTTGGAGATGAATATCATTTTGTTTGCTTCTGAAAACAAGAAAACAGAAAAAGAGATCAAAATAATGATTTCTGAAAAATAGAATGAAAAAAAGAAATTTAAAAAATATGTCAAATTTACAAACATGATAATCAGTCTTTTTATGAATTTATTCATTGTGTTCAACAGTTTAATAAATGGTAATCTTGTTTAATAAAAACATTATCAGTTACAAAATTTTTGAGATATTATTTATAATGATAGTTCTTTCATCCTTTCCTGTAACTCACAGCACCGAGTTTATAACTTTCCTCTGAAATTTTATGTCTTGATTAGTAGTGTTGTAACTTCAATAAATGAGTAATTGTATGCAAGAAAGTTAGTTAATGTAATACCTCAGTACAAAAAAGTGTAGGAAAACTTGTTGGAAAATTTAAATTCTGTTTAGAAAATAAGCTAGGAGTGTTTGTTTCTGAAACAAAATTTGTAGAATAGAGAAAGTGCCACAAGATGACTAAAATGCTTTGTGAAGATAATGCATTAATAAGGTCTGTTTAGAATATGTAGGATACTATATGTAGAAATGTGTATGTCTTTTACACTTTAATGTTTTAGAATTAGATTGTGAAATTAACACAGTTTGTATTTAGAATTTGCCATTATGCAGTAATTTTACTTTCTGTTTCTAGTTTTAAAATTTCTCCAAAATAAAAATGTACTTTATTCTAAACCAGTATATTCTTCCTCCATAATTCAGTCATTAATTACAAATATCATTTAGGTATTTTATAAAACAAATATAAAATTGTGATTCAGTAAAAATAACGCAATTATATGTATCTTTGAAACTAAAAGTATATGTTTTTGTAAAAGAATTTACTAAGGGAAGTATTTTTTTTAAATTTGAAATATGTTATGCTTATCTTTCTAAATAATATTGCATATTTTCATCTTAATTTAAAGCCTGAAGTAAAATGTTTAAAACTATTAGTTTGAATTGTTTATTAACCTCTTAAAGGACATCAATACATATGTTTTTTAAGTGAAAACATTTGCAGAATTATTCACTACTGAATCTCAAAAATAAAAACAAAAAATTTGAGCTAAGATTGGCAGTGATATATTATTATTCTATTTAATAATCACTATTTTATTCTTGAAATCGCACTAAATCGCATAGGTTATTATGCTAAAAAATTCTCCAAGGTGTCATGACAAAAGTTGTGTAAAACAAATTTGCAGCAATCGCAAAACATGTAAAGAACCATTATGGCCTGAATGTATGACATATTTTCATTTATAATTTGTCATTATTCCTCTAGACAATCAGACCATATATATGTGTTCAAAACTATTAGTCTTGATATTTTTAAATACACTAACTCGTATTTTGAAATGTATCTAGACAATTAAACTAATATATATATATATATTAAAAGTTAAAGAGTCAAGGTATAAACTAGGAGGGTAAGTTTTGGCATTGTAATCAAGAAAACATTTCATACTCATGCTCTTAATATTCAACACCACGTATGTACACTTATACATACATATATAAAATCACACACACATATACACTCATGAGCCAAAACATGATTTTAATGAACTCGTCTGGATGACGTGGAAGGCACGTGATTAAGTGGGAATATATTTATTTAACTGCCTGCTGGAGAGGGTAAGGAATCATTCTTGCACTTACTTTTGCAAGTGGTATGAAAGTCTGCTGATATAAGCAAATTTGATAGAGGGCGGGTTGTAATGGCCCAATGAGCATTTCCAATTTTGGAACGAGCATTTCCAAAAGTGCATGACTGGTAGGTTATTCATGATATGCCATTGTTAGCATTTATGCAAAATAGATAAATGATGGTGAAACCAGCAGTAGACACCAAGGTGTTGGACATCCATGCGTCATCAAAGAAAAAGGACATGAGAGACTGTCCCACTTGGCAAAGCAAAATTGGCACCAGACAAGTGGATTCTCAGCTGACAGCCTCAACTAAAATGTCCAGGTTCAAGTGTTTTAGAACACACATGTCACTGGACACTGTTGGATTTGCAGCAAACATCCCTCTTGTATGCCTCTGTTGACCAAGTTTCATTGTAGACTATGTTTACAATTGGCCCGTGAGCATTGAAACTGAAGCATTGATAAGGGGAAGACAATTACTTGGATGGGAAGACTCACAATTTCTCATTAATCACATCGATGGTTGAGTCAGGGTACACTGTCTTCCAGGCAAACAGCTGCTCCTCCGCTTTACAGCAGTTCATACACAGGTTGGTGATGGCAGTATTATGCTTTAGGGATGTTCTCGTGGGCGGATCTGGATCCCTTAGTTGTAGTACAACAGACTGTGAAAGTTGTTGACTGTCTGAACATAATTGCATCCTTACATGGTATATGTCTTCCCAACTGGAAATGGAATCTTTCAGCGGGACAACACTTAATGTCACAAAGCTTGAATTGTGTTGGAGGGGTTCGAAGTGCATAAGGATCAATTCTAATTAATGCCCTGACCACCTACTCATTGTATCTTATTAACCCGACAGAGCACATTTGGGATGTCAGGGAGCAGTAGCTCAGATTTCAAACACCACCATGTCGGAATATCTTGACTACTATGATCACTGCTTAGACATCTGGTAAAGCCTGTCTCCAGTCATCTATCAAGAACTTGTGGCACCCGTGGCAAGGCAATTTGCAGCTGTTTTGAAAGCCAGAAACCTCACAACACATTATTGAGTAGATGGCCATAAATGTTTTTGCTCTTCAGTTGTGTGTGTGTGTAACTTTTGTTTGTTTGTTTGTTGTTGATTCAACTGGCTCAGTGAATTACTGCTGATATGAAATAAAAAAAAAAAAAAAAAAAAAAAAAAAACTAATCAAACAAATGAAATATTTAGCAAAACATATGTCCCTGAAGAGGTTAATATGTCAGTTAAGGTTTGTTTTTTACATATATGCATCTGGGTATTAATTAAACAATTTTTAATGATTTCAAAATTATAATTTTTAGATTTTTAGATAGTTTTTTATTTATTTTATTCAATATTTTGAGAACAATTTTATTATTAAATATCATGTTTCTGCTTAGTAGATAATTAGTAGAATCATCAGAAAGAAGTTTCATATTTAGAAGTAGTAAAATAAAAGTTGATTATATGAAAGTTATTTTTGCTGTTGCTTAGTTAAAAAATGCGAAGACTAGAAATTTTATATAATAATAATAATAACATCTATGTTATAAAGATATATTGCTAAGTGATCCTGTTAGTATATATTAGCCAAATCTTAGTTTTTCCATAGTGCCCACCCATGTGCAGCATATGTGTATTATTGTTATGCAGTGAGTGCAAAGAAGTACAATAAGTAATCAGTTAACTTGTGGATCTGATAATTTGTTATAAACAACAGCTTAATGATATGAAATTATTGCATACAAATATATTAGTTAATGAATCATATTTATTAAGTTAAACAAAAATACAAGCTGTTTAAAAGTGTTTTAAGATAAATCACAATCCAGGATTTACCAGAATAGTGAAGTCTTAAGAACTGAAGCAGTAAAATCTAGCAAGGCCAATGTGTATGTGCTGTAATGTTAACCAACAATTATTAAAAATTATGATAGTGTATTGAAAGTATGCAAAATTTTTTGCCCGTAACAAAGCATAAAAATATCTGAAAAAGGAGGAGATAAATTTAAGATATATGTAATTAACTATGAATGATTTGCCATATACAGTCAAAAGTCTTTAATCCAGACATCCATAATCTGAAATGGTCTATAATCCGGACCTCAAAGCTACAAACTTTCTGCGCATGCGTATAATATGTTTACATATGCACGTTTAATGTATAACGGACGGTATAAGCTAAGCTAAAATTCTCTAATTATCTATTTCAGTTAATGTTGCAGATTGTGTTGTTCCTTAATCTTCGAATTGGATCCGGCTTATTATTTTTTGCAGACTGTTAGAACAATTTTATAAAACTTTCGATTATGTCAAAAAGAATTTCTGATTCTGGAGCTGCCAAAGGATCTACAAACCGAAAGCATGTTTCGATGTCCATCAAACAGAAAGTGGAATTGCTGCAAAAAATGGATAAAGGCATATCCTTTGTTTCTCTAACCATTCCAAATCTGTTTATCAATTTCACGCTGCTCTGCGGGGGAAACGTGACGGCACTGCACGATGAACTGGAAGTTGATCTGTCAGCACTATCCTTATCTTCAGGGCAGATGTTTTTATTTTATTCAGCTTATAATTCCTTACTAAATGTAGTATTTCATCTCGATGTACTCCGTCTTTGATATGATTTAAATCAAATTCCTTGTCATTATAAATATCACGAATACACATCAAATAGTTTTTTGGTTGCAATTTTCTAATTTCGACTATGCATAATGTATGCTTTACGCATGTGCGCGTTGAAAGAAATGTTTAACAAAGTAAACAAATAAATATCAAGGGTTTTTTTTGTAAATTTTGATATCCTTTAGATCATAATTGCTCTTTATTTCATAAATTACAGTTTCATATTTTTAATTTTATAATTTCTGCAAGCCATCTTACCAGATTAAAATTGATGATCTATAATCTGGAATTGCCGAAGTCCCGACGAGTCCAGATTAAAGACTTTTGACTGTATTATATTTAAATGTATTTTGCTGGATTGCAGGCCAAACATTAAAATAAATAGGAAGGCAGTACTGGGAAAATCATAGCATTAGAAATGTATTTCATTTCTTAGTTTTTCATAAAAATGTCAAGATCATTAAGAAACTACTGATATGATTTGTTATTCTGTATTAACATCTCGCTATCATCATTTATATTTTTTATAACTTTCCCATTGTACTTTTTGTATAATAATTGTTGCATTAGAATTCATACGAGTGTTAAATTAGGTAAGTGTGAAGAGTCACTACTGCAATTCCAAAAGGAATACTTATTGTATTTAAGTGCATTATAGGCAGTATTCCTTCTAATTTTTGACTGCAGATATATAGCTTTTATTTTTTACTCTTGCTTCTATAAACATTCATTGCTTTCAAAAACACGCGTGTTTAAAAAAACTGTTTATTCATTATAAAAATTAATACATTAATATACATATAAGCATAACAAAATTATTTACTAAAATATAACTTAACTTTAATAGTAATAATATATAGATTGATAAAAAAAATAGTAAATAAATAAATGTTACATTTTTATAAGTATACATATATATTAAATTTTTTTCTCCTTTATCTTTAAAATTTAACAATTTAGCATATATGTAATCCAAATTTATACTTAAATGTGATTTTCTGACATAAACATGTATAAGTGATCTTCTTTCAAAATTCTTTATTTTTTATTGAATTCATTAAACTGAAACACAGTTACATTGTTCACAGTCAACATTAGATGCCAAAAATGTTTTGCCAGTATCCACTAATTTTGAAAGTTTAGAAAATAGTTTTTTTTACTAGTTCTGTGCCATGATTGAAATTATATGCCTTTAACGCTATCCGTTTCTATACTTCATTTTCAGCAAATATCTGTTCAAATCAGAGCAAGGTAAATTTGTAAAAGCATAGAATTATTGTCAATTTCAACGTTTTTCCTTAGCTTTATGAAGCATTTTCAGTGCATTATTCCAACTAATGCTACATTGGTTATTTTATTTATTTTACCATGGATATAGTGAAATGCATCAAATGGTGTTAAGATAGCACTGCTAAAACATTTTACACAATGCTGCAAGTTCTTTAAAAATGTCATTCATAATTTTTCATTATTGCTTTCTGTGTAAAATGTCTAAATAACCTTCACATTGCATTCTAAAGTAGTAACAGTATCTTGAAATTTATCTTACTTTCTTATAGATATGGGAAATATTGTATGGTATATATTGTTCTCATCAAAGTTTCAATATCTCATTAATTTAACTTCTTTTGAAGTACTGTAAATATCTATATCTTTATGATGTGCAACACGGTGTTATTGAACCAAATATGATATATTTTCTGTTAGTTTTGCTGCTAGCATTTTTTTTTAAGAACATGCAGTGGAATGCATAAACACATATATTTGTTAGCTACACTTATTGACTACATACCATGTGCTAGTAGTTGCTCTTTACGATGCATATTTTACTTGCTACGTTAGGAGACAGTGTAAGCACACTAGCACTGTCTCCTTGGGTTTTAACTACATGAAATGGCACACTAGCACCTTTTATATAACTGCAACCCAAGCGTTCATGTTTTTTAACAGCGGGAACTCTGATTACTCGTGATCAATAATTTAAGTAGTTTCTTTTCATTTCATTTCTTTAGATTTGCAGTGTAAATATCCTTAGATTTGCAGCTAATCACACTAGGCTAGCATATAAAAGTTCTATAGGAATCATGTCTAAGAGTTATCTGTATGTGATATTTTATTAGATGTACTGTCAGTCGAATCTGTGATTGTTATTGTTAAGAGAAGAAATTCTTTAAACAGACTTGAAAAAAAGATCACCTGGAATATTTTACATGTATTCATTTTAAAAAATAGAACCCTAGCAGTGCTGAGTGGATAAGAATCAGCAAAATATTCATCTACGACCATCTCAACTTCTTCATTGGATGCAAAGCGCTCCCCAGAAACAAATTTCTTTAAGTTTGGGAACAGATGGAAGTCTGAGTGTGCCAAATCAGGAGAGTAGGGAAATGGCCGAGCAAATCGTACCCCAAATCCTGCAGTTTTCCCATCGCCAACGCACCCTTATGCACAGGTGTGATGTCCTGGTGAAAGATGAATTTTTTCTTTTTCAAGCCAGGCCTTTTCTCGCAAATTTTGGCTTCCAGCTGGTCATGAAAGTTGGAGTAGTATTTGCCTGTAATTGTTCTCCCATTTGCAAGGTAATCAATTAATAGGATCCCTTTCGCATCCCAAAACACACTGGCCATGACCTATCCAGCAGATGCAGTTGACTTCGCTTTCTTTGGTGCTGAACCACTGCCTCCTATGCACTGCTTGGACTGTTGTTTCGTTTCTGGTGTGTAGTGATGGACCCATGTCTCATCCATGGTGACAAATTGGCGTACAAAATTGTAAGATCCCTGTTGAATCGGTCCAAAGATTTCTACGAAAATTGTTTGCACATTTGCTTTTAATCAGTATTCAGCAAATTCGGCACCCATTTTGCACAGAGCTTTCGCATCCGTAATTCTTAATGCAAGATGTTTGACACCCTTTATACCGATATCCCCACAGCTTCAGCTGTCTCACACACCTTCGCTCACCTATCATCAACATGATATCATGCACTTTTTCAATGGTTTTCAGTGTGGTTGCAGTTTTTGGCCATCCTTCATGTGGGTCATCTTTGAGGGATGTGCAACCATGTTTAAATTCAGCTGCTCACTTTTTAATGGTTGACATGGAAGGAGCAGAGTCCTCATAAACTTTTGTTAATTTCAGATGAATTTAGGCTATATCCATCCAAAACAAAGAATTTTATGACTGCACGATATTCAAGCTTATCCATTTCAACGAATAACACTCAAGACGTCTACTGTGAAAATTCGTGTAGACAAACTACTTAAGAGAACAAGTTGAATTTTGTCATATGAACTAATGACACCTACACCCAGGCAAGAAACATAAGTTTTTGCTGATTGGAGAGCCATCTCTTGGTCAGGCCGAAAACCTTTCACCTTACCCTCATATCATGCAGCCCTCAAAATCACCCTATTTATATTAATTCATGATCTTATAGAAATCACCTTGTTTATCTCTGGGGTGTATCTCACCCTTCTTTTCAGTGGCACAGTTTTACATTCTTCAGTCTTCTTTCTTATTCAATTTTCATAAATATATAATTATAAAAAAAAAGTCTTGGAAAATATCAGTTTCTATAGACCTACCTATGAATTTGCCATAGTAAAAAATTTTAGAACATTTTAAAAGTGTCGTAAAGAATTGTGACTTAAATGAACATGTTTAATGAATGCTGTAACATAAATTAATATATAATCATACAGGTCATCTTACTTTGAAGATAGTTGTGCCTAACTTTTATTTAGTGGTCAAAACCATTAAAATTACAATATAAAATTTTTTGCATAAAAACTTGAAAATGTAATCATTTTATTTTTCAATGCCTTTTGTAATTGCAGCATCTGAGGCTCTTCATTGAACATTCATATTAATACTTATTTCACATATAGCAAGAAATTTAAATGCATTAAATAAAAATTTTATTGAGGGTCTAGAATTTTTATTTTAGAGTCTGTTTGTTTCCATTAATTTTATGTTAATATTTGCTATTGTACTGAACTAGTGTATACCATTTATAAATGTTCATTTGGGGGCTAATTTATTTCTTCTTATTTGCTATGTTTAAAATTAATATACTAACTACCTTTTATGTCCTAGATATGCAGTCACAATTCATATGCATTATTAGTCCAGAGGGGCAATTTGCACAGAAGGACTGTTAGTTTCGTTTTGACATTTTGTGTCGATTCACTATAAACAGTGAATCACTTTTTAAATTGTTGCCACCAAATATTAGAGCTTTGTATTATATTTAAAATAATGAAGAATTTGCATAAATGTATGTTTCTCCCATTATGATAAAATCACGATAACTAGATCAATCAAAGTTTAAATAACATAATCCTCCACTGAATATGGGCATCTGAAAGCCCAAATTTGGAATTTGTTTTATTATCGATTTCATATTTTGTCAGACATTAAAGAATTTTTTATTAACAAACTCAACGATTTCAAAGCGAGCAATGACAACACTGTTCGGGGTTAAATCTGTATTGGAAATTCTAAAGGTATGCTCTTTTAAATATTTTGTGATATTGCTGTTGAATTGAATTTTATGGTTTAAGTGTGAGGAACATGATATTTAATAAGTAAAGTAACACACAAAACATTAAAAATACCCATTTGGACATAATATAAAATCTGGAAGCTTTCAGGTTTTTTCTAGTCCAAAGGGGCAATTTGCCCATAAGGACTAATTTTGTTTTGGTATTTTATGTCGATTCATGATAACATTGTTTCACTTTTCAAATTGTTGCCACCAAATATTATCACCCTGTATTATATTTTAAGAAATTAAATAATGAAGAATCTACATGAATGCATGTATGTTTCTTGCACTGTGATTAAACAACAGTACCTAGATCCATCAAAATGTGAATAGCGTAATCTTCCATAGAATATAGGCATGTGGAAACTCTAATTTGAATTTGAAATTTGTTTTATTATCGATTTCATATTTTGTAATACTTCAAAGAAATTTTGATTAACAAACTAAACGATTTCAAACCGAGCAATGCCAACACTGTACGGGGGAAAAAAAATTTTTATCTCCAGCACGCGAGACTCTGTATCGGAAATTCTAAATATATGCTCATATTAAAATTTGTTTGCGATATTGCTGTTGAATTGAATTTTATAGTTTGAGTATGTAGAACATGATATTTAATAAATAAAGTTAACACATAAAACATTGAAAAAATGCCCCTTTGGACGTAATTTAAAATCTGACGCTTTTCAGATATTTTTAAAATTTATTATTATTATTTTTAATGGTAAGCAGTTATATGTATGGGAATGAAGCATATGTTACGATAATATTTTGTGGATTAATAAACCTGCAGAAAAAAGTTAAAATAGCCTACTAACATAACTTTCTAACATAGCAATTTGTATTATATTAATATTTTTTTGTATTTAAAGTAAATTTTGTATGTTTTTATGTGTCAACACTCAAGGTGTATATCATCTTCTTATTTCAGGTGTTGCTGTTTTTTCAAACGAAAAAAAAAGAAACCAAGCCGCCAAAAATGACTCGCAGTCACTTGTAGTCCCGAGCAAGAAGTTGTGTTACTGCACACTTCACCATCAGATTCCAAGGAGAGTCTGAGTGTACGAACTGCTACGGTTTGAGCAATCCTTTTCATCACATTATAATCATAAGGTTAAACATAAGGTCGCTGTCGCCTCGTGTCTATCCTGGCATGGTCACCATCGACTCAAGTGCGGCATCTTCACGTATTGGCTCACCAAAGCTGTGATTAACTTTTTCTTCATGGGAAGATTCAGAAGTTTCACTTATTGTCACCTCTCCTTGTTCTCTAGTGGACAAGAATCATTGCGCAGTACTTGCAACTTGTGTTTAGATTTGATACTAACAGAATTTACCAAAGTATAGCCTGTTGGGAACGCTTTTCATTTCAGTTTATAAGCTGTAGTTTTCAAGTCTTTGCCTAATCTTCAGTTTACTAGTTTTTACTTATTTTATGCTTTTGTGAAAAGGCTGATTTCCCATTTAGGCTGCCATAGTCAAATGCAGTTTAGTAGTCATCAGCCTGTCTTACATCACATCGAAATAACAATATTTGAAGAAAAAAAGTTCTCGTTCATGGGAATATGATTGTAGAACTGCATTTTTAGCTTTTTTTTTTTTTTTTTTTTTTAATTATTATTATTTTAAAGTGTGACTCGGTGTTTTCACTTGTTTTTCTCTTGGTCCTGTTCCTCCCCCCTTCTGCCAAAGCTCTGAATACATATTCTCTTATATATATGCAGTGGAATGTAGTGAAAGAAAATAGCGTAGGCTATCATCGTTGATGAGATTACTATATCTGTCAACTTCTGTACTTGCAAGAATGGTGTTTTAATTTATCTTCCATAATTGCAAATTAAATTTAGAAAGAAGCACACACCCAAGTTAATTAAGGGATTACTTCAAGCAGAAATGTATATGCAAATCAAATGGCTTGTCTTTATCAATAGCCATACCTTTTTATGCTATCTTTTATTCCTGGTGCACATGAGTGTAAGCTGTTTCCTTTGTTGCAGTGTTTGGAGTCTTGGGACAGTTTTGAATGAAATCAATTGAATGTTATTCGGGATATTGTTATATACAGTAATATATATATATATATATATATAAAAAAAATTATTCTCTAACCAGTGCTGTCTGCTATCACTGGTGTAATTTTGCTCTATGTAAATAGTATGTTACCATTGTCTTGATCTTTATCAGTACTTTCAGATAGGCATAATTGCTTCCTTCAATTTCAAAGTGAATTTTATTCTTTCATTATGACATCATTAGGTATTATCCAGAGTTGCCTTAGGTGACATGAGAAACTTGAAATAATTCAATTCTGCACTAAGAAAGATATACCTTGTCTTTTTGCTTTATGTGATTATCAGTTTTGTTCCTCAAATGTGTTCATGTACGTTATTTGTCAATTTAATATATTGTGTTTTTATTTTTTTCACTTTTTTAATTCACCCAAGACCAAAATTTTTAATATTATAACACTAACGTGCTTTAATTCATATTTGCTTATTTATAAATGCATGTTTGACTATTTGTCGTAGTTTTAAAATTTGACTAATGTAATGCTGAGGGAGAGAGACTTTTTTTAAATTTTTTTTATGTATTTTGGTCTTTGGTGGAAACTTTTATTTATCAATACATGAAGAGGAAGTAAATATTTTTATGTACTGAATGAGCAGTCTGAATCGAATATAGATGCGTAGATATATAAATTGTGAGTCACTCACTCCAGAGTTCAGAGTCTAGGTTGATATGTCTTCAAATTAGTTTGTTCAACATAGAATATTTATTCCCTCCCCACCTCCAAACTTTTGAAAAATCTGCCATTTTAAAGCACCATTAGTCTGATTTATGTACTACTTTTGACCTGCAGTTCTAATGCTTTTTATAATAATAGTTATACCAAAAGTACCCTGCAAATGTTTTTCATACTTTCCTAATGCTGCGCATTTGAGTTTGTAAGGTATTAGTCACTTAATTTGTTATACAGTTTGATTTCAAACACAATGAAGAAGCAATGCTGTGCCAGTGATGTTTTTTCCATGAAAAGTTTTCCATTTGAAAGTATATTTTTTCATGTTTTAATATGTATTGCTTTTGAAAAAATTAATCCTCATTATAGTTGTATTTTTTATGGGACACAGGGGATAGTTGTTTGTTGAGTTATCCAGCACACAAAATGCCCAAGCCTCATTTTTAAAATCCTATTTGAATTAAAATAATTTATCTTAACGGAATTTTTTTTTTTTTTTTTTTTTTTTTTTTTTTTTGTAGTTGTTTGTACAATCAATAAAATAAATTTTGAATTATTTGTATTATGTATAGATGGAATAAAGAAAGCTGTCTGAATCATTTCATGTCTTTTTTATTCTGCCGTTCACAAAGTTGATTTTGATTCTGGAAAATAAGAAAAAAGAAAATTTTTAATATTATTTGTAGAAAGTTTTATTTTTCTTCAAATTTTGTTACTTATTAAACACTCACTCTTAATCTTCAAAAATATTCAGTGGGTCATTGCCTAACATAATGATTATTTATTAATTTTTATCATTAATAAATTATTAAATTGACTAACTAATTAATTCTAAGTAGATTTTAATATTTAATATAAAATATGGATTTTTTCTGATAAATTGGGAGTAGAATGATTTGATAAAAAAAACATAAAATTATTCTTGAAAACCATCATTTGAGCTGCTGTCTTTTAAATATCATTTCATGTATATTATAATATTAAAAACACAGAAGTATTAAGTGCCGTTAATTTCAAATAAAGTTTTATGTATGTGAAGGAAATATTATACAGGATATGTTTAGAAAAAAGATTAATTGATTAAATGTCTTTTAAATGACTCATTATGGACGCACGTTCTCAGTTAGAGAAATAAGTCGCATAAGGATAACTTTCATACTCTGACATTTTTAGTCATATAACTAACTCCTTTTGGTAAAATTAGGAACTTAAAATTTAATGATTCCCCCAAAAAATGCCAATGAGAAAACTGTTGCCATAATTTTTCACATTAATTATTTAAATGACCATTAAGTTAACCACATGCACCAAAAAACCTTATGATAATTTTTACTAAATATTGTTGAAAACAGAAACCTGAATTCTTAATTTCAGGTTACATAATGCTAAAATTTGAAATTTTGGATTTTACAGACATAAATTAGCATTATGATTTCTAAAATCGATGTGTTTTACATGTCTTATATATGAAAGTGAATTATATAATTTTGATTCTTTTTTTAATGGCAACTTTTCATGGTACAGAGCTCTTTTTTATGCATTTAAAAAGTCTATAGTAGAGTAAGGAGCAGTACTTTAATTAAAATGTTTTTAATAGATCCCTAACATAAATATTTGATTTTTAAAATGTCACATGACCAGTAATTGTTATAGTCTGAAAGTCCATCTCAAATCTTGAAGTGGAGTCTACAACAAAATATTCAAGAAATATTTTGTCATGTAATCATTTTGAAATATTTGCACACAATTCAATAAATTGCTTAAATGGATAGTGTTAAGAATTATGTATTACAATTTGATCGTTGTTGCAATATGTGTTGCGTACGTTTAATGCGCTGAATATAATTGAAACATGAGATCAGGCCCGTGCCAAGCCTAATCAGCACTGTCGTGCAAATGTTTAGCAAGCGCCTTTATATGGTGATGATATTAAAGGGACATTACTTATGGTTAACACTTAAAATGAAGCATTATTTACACAATAATCTCAAAAAAAAAAAAAAAAAAAAAATTACATTTTATCTTTTGGCTAAATATGCAAACATTTTCTGCTTTGTTAAAACCCACAGTCAAACATATTTATTGAAGAATTATACACACATTTATGTTATAAAAAGCCGCCCAACAAGTATAGTGGTTAATGTTGCTGACTGCCATGCCAAAGGGCTCGGGTTCGAATCCTGTAAAAGACTTGGATGTTTGTAAGTGTATAGTGTCCATGCGGCATGGGGGCATTCTAAATATGCGAGGCGAAAGGCTGATGGTAAGGGAAGAGGGGACGCTCGGACTCACCACCCCAGAGTGCTCTCCATCAAAATTGCAGGTGAAACTGAGTTAAATTGCACTGTCACCTGCAAGGTGCTCAAGGCTGTTGCAACGACAGTCATATCTTATGCTCCTTACCACGAGGAATTTCGTGGGCTTGGTCTGACTATAATACAGACAAGTGAGCATTAGTCAACAGCGTGTTATAAAAAAAGTAACACTGCAAGCAAAGCGAAATTAATATATTAAATGCATTTGATACCAACTATATTGCTGAACACTATTTATTATCTTAAAATTAAAAACAAATTAATAGACATAGCTAATAAGTTTGCACTGAATAAATTGTTGTATGCAGCATAGTTTATGACAAGGTTCAAACTGTGATTACATCAGGGCATATAAAGTGCTCTAGGGCTGATATCTAGGGATATCTGAAATTCTTTTCTACATACCGTTATGTTGACAACGATATAATAGTGTAGAGTTTCACCCAATGATGCTACATTTCCTCCAAAAGTTTGCAAAAACTGCAGTTCATGCATAAGATCTATATACTATTTATATCGCTTTGATTTTATCAGTTAATGCTTTTTGCAGTTTTTGACATAAGTTGAGCTGATCTATATGTGATGCCAATGCGTATGTAAGGGTACGCATTCAAAATAAAACAGCTTATTTGGCGATAATATAAAGCAAATTATTTTAAATAAAGCCAAACAGGCAAAGCATTTTTCTATTTTATTTGATTGTACCCCTTACGCCAGCAAGAGCAGATACCAATTGGTATGGGGTATCTTAATATAGAAAATACGGACATTTGTTTAAATACTCATGTCCGTATCAATACTGTTTAAACTTAAAAAAACATCTACGAATTGCACAGTCTAGGCAGCAAAGGAATCTACGAACTGCACACACCTCGCTTTAATAAATTAACATAACAACAATTAATTTCAAGAATGCCGTGTACACAGCGTACATACTACGTCATGGTATTACAGATGTCAGCTTTAGGCCCCCAGGGTAAGCCAAGGAAGAACATGAATATGCAGTTTTGAGGCTCCAGGCACCCACTGGAAACCTCAAGCAGTTTAAAGGCTCGCTTGAATTCGCGAACTCCATCGATGGGGATGTTTCACTCCGGACAACCATGAATATCTGACTATATAGCTCCACCACAACCAACGGACAAGACAGTACCATACGGTCCCTGCCGAGCCTGAAACAGCTATCGCCAGCGATGACTTCAGTCCTGTAGAGATTGAATTTAAGCACGCATGGTTGAGACTGCCTAGGTACAGATCCTAATCAGTAGCTTCCCAGGTTTTACCTGAGTCAACTTCCGGAGAGGCGTTCAAATAAGACAAGAATTTTCTTGTTCAGACAGGCAGCGAGACAAACTGCTTGTTTTAATAATTGCTGGCGCCTACGACCTTGCACCTATTGTCGGCACGGGCCTGCATGAGATGGATCAGATTTCTTATTTAGTAATAAAATTTCTCTCAAATCAGCATTTATTGATTGTACTGCATGATTTCTACCATATTCCAAAAGTGTCTGTTCTCTGAAATTAAACAGATTTCTCTTATTCATAAAAATTATCATGATTAAATTTCAGTATTTACACATAAAGATATAATTTGTGATCCCAGGGGTTACCTATAAAAGCAAAGCAAGTACATTTTATCAGCAAGATAATATGGTGTGCACTACTGCTATGCACGTGAGCATTCAAAAACATTACTGTCCGATGTGTAATCATCGAAGAGTAATGTTCTCACTCTCCACTGTGAACGAAGCTCTTCTGTCAATCATCTAGTGTGTATTAGTCAGTGAGCATAAGATATAAAGGCGTTTTTATCATTGTTAAATAGCGTTAAATGGCGTTTTTTCATTGTTAAATAATTTGCACTTCATGTGTTTTGAGAAATTGTTTAAGAATTTATGATCTTTTGTTCTTATTTTATGTGCCAAAATGAAGTAAAATGCTCCATTACTTTTCAAAAATTATATGTAATTTACTTCCCTGTTATTATTTCACCAAGGAAATGAATATATTGCTCTTGAAATCAGCATTTTTAATGAAAAAGAAGAAGTCATTAGGTGCCTGTCATGATGGGAGAGGGAAACTCAGATAAAAAAGGCTGCCTAATTATTATTTCAAAAGCTAAATTTTAATTATTAAGGATTTGATTTTTTTCCCTTGTAAAATCTTGTATTGCAGAATTTATTATAATAAAGAGCTAATAAATTGAAAATATGATTTGTTATAGAAATTGTCATATGGTATTTAAACTATAAAAACTGTCATACCTCTGTCGTATACCTCTGTTGGGTACATTATGATACCATATGGAAGTATATAAACTACTTATTTAAACTACAATATGGTGCCATAATGTATACAGCAAAGTGTCACGAAACATGGTAATTTGACCTGGATTCAGATCCTAGTAAATAGGCTGTCAGCATGAGGTACTAGTGATTTTTTGCTTAATGCAAATATGAATTTTAAAAAAGTTTTCCATGACAGCAACCCTTCCTGATACCTTTTTAAGCAAATGTATTTGTGATGTAATCAGTTAATTAACCAGCTATCTTATATGCATGTTACAACAAAATTTATTCTTAAAGAAAGAATAAAATGTTGGGTGGAAAGAATATTTATACTCTGCAACATGGCAGATTATACCTTATAACATTTTATAATGTGTTTTACTTTCTGTTTTTAGTTTCTCAGAAGTGTCTATGAAAAAATCCAATTTACATTCATTCTACCACATTAACCCTTTGTCGCGCGGTCCGATGCATGGCATCCCACCTTTTTTTATCAGTTTTTATCTCGAAGATGAAAGCTGCAAAATTCCATTTAAAATACATACAATTATGCCTTTTAGTTCTCTAAATGTGTAACAGATGGCAGTACTAGCATTGATTCATGGAAATAATGTAAAATAAAAATTCTAATTCTAATTTTGAAGCAGTTTTTTTTTATTTATTTCTAATGCAATTTAAATCGTCTGAACAACAGCTTTTGGTGCTAGAATATTTTTATGTGAAAGTTTCCTTTTCTAAAAACACTATTATTTGAATTCATATATATTAATTAAGAATGGTTGAAATTAAAAGGTGGGACCAAATACGTCCTACCGCGCATGTAAGAATTGCTGCTACTAGATGGCAGCACCGTTCAAATATTTTTAAATTCAAGTATCATGTTCATTTTATATGTTGATAATACAAATTTATATT